ATACTGAAGAAGTTGTTATATCAGTTACGATTTATATGTGAGGTATTCGTGTTTGTGAGTATATTCATGAGGCTATTATGTTTTTGATTTTTCATGTGAGATGTTACTTTTTTGCGAATGCATTATGTTAGGCAATATTACCTGTGATTTATAAACGAATTATTAGTTCTATATAAGAGCTTTCATGAGAGGATTGGTTTATGCGAGTGAATCCAAATGCTATAGTCACTGATTTTTATTTGAGGTATTTTGTTTTGTTTAATGAACAGTGTTCCTTTTTGTAAAATAATTTCTGGATTTTGCGACCGTTTAAGTTTATGTACTCGAGATGCTGAAGGATGTGGGGATTATTTTAGGCATTGTCAATTAAATTGCTAAAACTGAAGGCTTTAGGTTTGCAGTGGGATGCTGACCCTTTTAAACGTTAAACGAATTATAATATCTATCTCAAAGCATTAAGACCAAATTCTAAATATTGTATATCTAATATACTATTAGTATTGTTATGAGTATTGGCTCACAATTTGTATTTTTATTCAATTTGTGTTGTAATGACTCGAGTATAATGAGGTGCTACTTGGTGTAATGGTCTGGGAATGATGTTTATACTTAGCTCGTGAGTCGGGAGGGGTCGATAGACGTTTGACTTTGGGATTGCTAGCGTTTCTTATGTCACCACCAAGAGTTGTATGACATATTGTTATAGTTTCCAACATAAAGTCCATTGACAGTACATATTCGGCGTTCGGTGTATGTAACGAATATGCGTTGGCATTTTGCATGTTAATGCTTTGATATTCCCTTATATTAGTATACTCTTGAACACATTCCATTTGTTGCTGTGCCTTTTCCATTTCCATTTGTGCGTTCATGTTTTGTTACTTCAGAATTATGATTTTTTATTAATGTGTAACAAACAGTATAATATAACAACAATTTTATTTGTCACTGCGATGCATTACATCGATTCATTTTTACATTATTGCCGACATTTCTCAAAGATCCATGTAGTCAAATGTTGAAGATATGGTCCTTATATAAGCAACCAATTCATGTTCAACCATATGCAACAATTTTCAATCGCAGACGGTATTAGACAAGGAAGAACAACGAGTCTCCCTTTATTGGCAATTGACCCCTGAATACGGCTGTCCATATCTCAAAATGTATTACAACTAATTTAGTAAAAAACTGACATATTATAACCATGTGTTATTCACAGATAATAAAGGTGCCAATATATTGATTGCTTCACCAATATCCCCAAAACGACATAAAATGTTGAAACCTTGATTTTTTATATATAAGGTATTTCAAGGAACACATACCGCAAAATTATAGCCAAGAAACTTGATGTATATATTAAAAATAATTTCATGTGACTTTCTTTTAATGTTTGTACTTTAAATTATGAAAAAAATACGAAAAACATTTTACACGTTTTTTGACCCCTGATAATGACATGCATTATTCGGCCTAAAAGCCCGCCGTATTTATCACGGCTATACAAAAATAAAACGCGGGACACATGTAGGTATCTAAATATAAGCTCAAATATCATTATGCAGATATGGTGCCACCAACTCCTTAATTAGACGTCCTAGAAATTTCATACCGTGGACTAGTTCCAAGTTTTACAATTTTAGCATGTTTATTACGATCTAATTCCTGCCAGTATCAATGAATAAATCTATTGACCAACAGATTGGAAATATGTATTCCAGCGATACCCTCATTTTGACGAAAGAATGGTACAAATATGTCCACTATTTATCGAGATATCGTGTAGAAAAATTGAAGAAAGACATCGCTTAAGAAATTTCTATTTCTAGACTGAACTGTTCACGCTCGCAAGTGGCATCTCCAACTCCATATATGGGCAAAAAGGTGGAGTTAACAATAAGCAATGCAGGGACTGACACGATTGACACGAAGAAGTCTCGATGAATCTCGCTTAAACTCCGCCCCTTCTTCGTGAAAAATCACGTGAATTCCGGCTTTTGCTGGGACATATCCGGGCATCTCGGCTTCGAACCCAATCAGAAGTTTCAATTTTGACTGGCGCCGCATACATTATCTCAAGTCTCACCCAATATTTTTATGTATACGTTAAAAACATTATCTTTGATAACTCAAATACTAGTGGACGGATATGGGACACATTTTAAGATGGCTGTTCAATTTCAAAATAATGTTGTGATTGCAAATATACAGGGTGACCAAAAAACAGCACCCTCAAAATGGAATAATTTCTTATGTACATTTGTAATCACCTTCATTTTTCATGTACAGAAACTTCAATTTATTGATGACAATGAGTTCTTATATTATCAATTAAAAAATGTGCTCATTTTTGAACGAAAAAATATATAAGATTTTACTGAAGTTAAAGTTACTGAAATTATATATTGACCACAGCACAGACATGGGAATACATGTAAGTAAAATTACCTAATGTCAAGACACTTCTACCGTTACAAGTGCATCAACTGATTGTTATATCAACACTTTTACATATAAACAGCCTCTTGTAAACAATTCCTACCAGCTGAACATTATTAAAATTAATGTAACAACCCACCAAATTCAGATACACTTATAGCATAATTTCTCTTATTATTTGGTGTGCTGTTACTGTATTTATCTCTGTATTTAATTAGATTTTAACTTTAATCGTTTATAAGTTGTATGTTTATATGCATTCAGCTGATATTCACTCTACAAGAAAAATGCCAATCTCCAAATACATACTTTTCAGTGATGGCGTATTAATATTTAACTGCAAATAGTGCAGAATATAGTCCCAAGATTTGATCCAGTAATTAGCAGTTATTATAAGCAATTTACTTTAATCACAGCTTCTTAAACGTGTTTATTTATGTTCATCATATTTTGGTATCAGTATTAGGTATGAAATACTTTTGTTTGTTAAGTTAGTATTCGGCGTAAGGTTTTCCTCAGTTGAGAAGTTTGGTTTGTGTTCTGTTTAGATTTTAACTGTAAGGATGCTAATGGATATATCACCTACGTTTCGATCGATTTTGCAGTATTCCGACTCTATTGGTGTTAGGTAAATATATATTTGTATTAATCAAATGATGATCAACAAATTGATATATGTTTTATGACATTCTGTTACGAGATCTGACAGTGAAAGTTACCTTGAAATGTATATAATGCTCCGGCCCAAAAGTTGCCCAGGATCCCTTTTACATCTTTATATCCTATTAGAGAGATGTATTTCCCCTTCCCAAAGTACCCCACAGTCCAGCTTTCCCAGTCTCTGGAAATTCCGGCATTCATATTGCAAATTTCCAATCATGTAGCTCGTGTTAGTCAGTGTTAGTCACTTGCTAGTCACTTGTTAGTCACTTGCTAGTCACTTGTTAGCTCGTGTTAGGCACTTTTTATAGTTCGTGCTAGTCATTGTTAGTCCATGTTAGTCACTTTATATACAGAAACTTCTCCCAGAACACAGTTTGATTATTCATAACTAATTTTTACTGTACTGTTGTCATTGTTATCTTTAATATCTTAAAAATATATACACCTGTAAATATGTTTCTTTATTTAAAACTTTTGTCGTGTTATATTTCTTAAGGTGATATTATCCCCCCCCCCTTTCATGAGACAATTCCAAGTATAATCGAGATGTAGAGATTTTTACTAGAACGCCATCTTTCTTTCGACATAAAAGTTTATTTCTTATAAGACTCATTGTAAAGACAGATGTTTTACACCCCCCATAATTAACTAAGAATAAAGCTCATAATTTTAAACCAATAACATCTCCCTCTCTTTTAACCACGCTACCACAACGAGTTGAGGGAATGTTACACTAATAGTGCTGATTGCGTGTTCAGTGTGTTTGTTTCTAGAATGAACCTATTGATGAATCCTAGGTCTGTTTGTATTGATTTGTACATTGCTTGTGACATTAATCTTTGGGAAAAGATCTATGTCAAAACGTAACTACTCCAGAAAACACTTACAAAATAGAGATGATAGACTTGTAGATATGCTCATTAGCATAACTAAAGAATTTTATTTCAGCCAATTAATGAGCATCTCTTGTCTGTCTAGAAGTAGACAAACATACATGTAGCATAAAGTTGCATCTCTCTTAATGGACATTTCTACTGACAAGATAGCACTGATTGACTGAGTTGCGGCAGCTTGATAACGTACAGGGATACGGACGTCCCGTGTTCGACCCCCATGTACGGAGTTGTTGATCATTGTCATCACAGGACACTTGGTCCAAAGGTCCAATTTCCGGCCCTTGGCTTAGGTCGGTTTCCATCGGAGACAAATTGTGAGACTGTGGTTGGTTGCTCCACTGACGTGATTTAGTAGACTATATGAGTCAAACAGTATAGTTTTAAACCACCACAAAGGGCAGTAGTGGAACGACAATCGGTCCCAGTAAGGGTGCCCTTTAACTGAAGACCCGAGGAAATTATGCTGTCGCAGTGACTGACCTTGTATTAGCAAATGTAACGAACATCTGTCGGCTACCGGATTAACCTACAATTTTATGACCAACTCAATTAAATATGAGAAAAGACTTTTTTCTGTTTGATACAACAATCAATTTTAATTTCATATATTTATAGTACCTGTACTCTGCAGTAATATCAATCCCCACTTAGTGGAAATAGATGTGCCTCTATACCGTCTCACCATCTATTTATTCCCGATATAATGGGAAAATAATAGTTTCTTGATTTTCATAGTGAATTTGACGAAAACAAAGAATGCTTCACCAACACAGAATGATAAATAAACTTTACCGAAAATGTTAATCTCAGGCTACATTCTTTTGCCACCACAGTCTAAAATGTTAGTGTCAGATAATTGGTAAACCATTTGATAACATTTAGAATTCTACCAATACTAGGCCTTCTAATAAAGTGATCACATAATAACCAGGTATGTATGTTTCTATAGAAAACTACAAAACGACATAACATTTTATATCAAAATGGCATCGACTTAATATTTATAGTAGTTACAATTTACGCATTGCATTTGCAAAGACAGGCTAATAGCTGCAGGACTTGAGTGCATGTAGTTTGTTGCGGTCTCTTTAAATAGGGATATAAATTGTTTGTTTGTTAAGTTTATTTTCAAACAAATAAAGGCCTCAGGCCCATGGTTTTACAGAAAATAGTACAAAACATGTTTTACACTTAGGAGTTCTTTTCTTAAATTAAATGCTCTATAGCAGAAAGTTGCTAAGTTACATAATTCATTAATTCCTCCTGAGGACCTTTTAAAAACTGATAGACTTTTGTTGTGATGGTAGAGTGTAATAATACCTTTTGATGTACTCCTCCCTCAAATCAATATACGATGGAAAAATCAAAATAAAATGGTACTTAAATACATCGGCATATCATATACACCTGGTATTACAGTGGTGTCAACATCATCCTCATTTCTTTGAATGAATAATAGGCATTATCTGGGTTACCTATCTTTTCTGGCCAGAACCACCAAAATATGCATCTATTTGGGGCATAACACTGTGAAGTGTTCATATAATTGCCAAACAAATTAGCCCGTGTGCAGCGGTTGTACCACCATGCCCCCGAATACATATGAGCACAACTGCCATGTCCAACTGTATCATGATCTACATCTTTAGTGGAAAATTTCATGGTATAACTATGATATAGACTGTCCCGTGCAGTTCCTGAATAACCAAGAGCTGTTAATTTAAAACCGTTGTCCTCGCTGCCTATGTTGAAATCACTGTAATCTGCATATCGAGTTTGGCTTTGTTGTTCCGGCCAAGCAGTAAGCTCAACCCGGAGTTTGTATTTCCCCTGCTTCAAAATTGAGCGAATGTTTTTCAAACCAAGGAAGTATTCTCCGTCTATATTGCCAAATCCATTCCTATACTCAGTCCAGTTCTTGTTGAAGTCCACCGACCCATCAAACCTATTCGCAAATACTAACCATCCACCTTTGCATTTGGTTTGAAATGTGTTCAAGTCACTGGTGGCGATATATGCTGTACCATCTGAATGTTGACTACAGTCTTCCACATCTATAACATTAAAATATAAGAGAATACACTTCAGGCTTAAATGGTTAATCATAGGTTTTTAGCTGATATAAAGATGGGAGCAGCGGTAGAATTTTATCACCTGTCTCTTTGAAAGACAGGTCAATCGCCACATCCCGCCCTGCCTATCTGTTTATTTCTGAACCTAACTCGTTTTTACAGCTTTAACCTCAATTGCATGATTAGAAGTGAAAAAGGTACAATACCATTTGACATACTCTTCAGATGTATGATTTTTCAAAAACAGAATATCAAATCTATGACGTTGACGTAATACGGAGAGTTCTAATACATACGTCCTCCAATAAAAAATATCTTGGAAAGGTAGATTATGCTTGATTTTGCACTTTATTTCTGCACTTAACCGTATTCAGGACAATATCCTAAGCAGTAAATACAAGAGTAAAATACTTACAGAGTTTGGATTTACAAATAGAAGCTTCAGATCGAACACAGGCAATATCATGCCACTCGAAACCACCATATCTCTCAACTGTGACACACTCCTCTCCTTCAGTTGATGGCTCGCCTTTGCTCCACTTCGTATAAACCACGTCATTGCCATCAGACCATTGGTTGTAGTTATTACCTTTGGCTGATAAGCCTTAATGTACATATTTGAAAAATAACATGATTCCTAAATTATACAAGCAACTAACATGCAAAATGTCACCACCTGTCATTTATTACAGATGCGAGCACCGAAAACCGTCCACAAAAAAGTTGATATGTCACCACTTCTGTTGGTGGACATGAAAATGTTACAGCATTTCATTAAACATTTCCATTTAATATTATTTCAATATAAATAATAAGTATACTATACGATACTGTACTGTTCCGTACCGTATACTAAACTATAATACATTACACTACATCACATGACTAAACTGGTATCAAGACGTTTCACCCCCTGGACGTTTCACCCCTAGACTGTTCACCCCTTAGACATTTCACCCCCTGGACATTTCACCCCCTAGACACTTCACCCCCTAGACGTTTCACCCCCTGGACGTTTCACCCCCTAGACATTTCACCCCTAGACTTTTCATCCCTTAGACGTTTCACCCCTAGACGTTTCACCCCTTAGACATTTCACCCCCTAGACATTTCACCCCCATATGCAGTCTGTGTATTGTACAATGTGAGTGGTTAGATTATTAGTGAATTTTTACTTAAATTACATGAGTAAATGGGTGTATACGGATTTCTTTTCCAAGTTACATTGACTGGAAAGGGTCATTGTCTATAAAACCACAACAATATTGGTACAAATAAGTTTTAAAAAAGTTTGCACTTTGCACTGATTAAAGATGCTAGTCTCTAATTGCCTAGATAATCCATTCCCTTGTTATCAATTGCATTATTAAAAAGCAACAAACCGATTCATTATTATTTTTTAGATTTAGAAAATTAACAGAGGCAGGAATTTGAGTATTTCTATGACATATTTGAGCAGAGATTTACTTCGGTAGGCATTTAGTAATTCTATACTAAAAATTTGAGCAAGGATTTACTGTGGCAGGCATTTGAGTAATTTAATTCCAGGAATTCAATGTCATTTTTTAGCGAAGATTTACTTTGGAAAGCATTTGAGTAATTCTATACTATATTTGAACAAGGATTTACTGTGGCAGGCATTTCAATTCAATTTCAATTCAATTCAATTCAATTTACCATACACTCATTTCATCAATGAATGCATAATAAGAAAAGGGAAAATGGAGGGACTTTAAAGATACTGAATTTGGATGACCAAAATGAGCTGAAACCAATGGATAGCATGAGATTTTTCAATGGAGAAATAACATGGGGAACACTTATCTTATAGCAATTAAGTTTTTCTTTCAAGAACTATTTGATACATCAAAATAAAGAATAGTAATGCATTAAACATTGTAAAAAATGATTGCATTTCTGGTAAAAATGGGGTCAACATCTTTGAAAAAGTCTGTTGATGGGTTGATTACTACTTCAATATCTCCGAGTTTGTTTGATTTTTCTGTATAAAATTTTCTTTGAGATAATGAATTGATCTCAAGTAAACCTGTCTCCATTGTCAGAAAATAATCACAATCCAAGATATAACCTTTGGTTTTGAAAATTGTTTATCAACTTTGAAAATTTAATTTTTTTGAAAATGTGACTTCTAGTTCGGGTTGATTCCCCATTGACCCCATGTTACAAAATCACAAAAAGTGAAATATCTCTTCTTGTATTGGACAGATAACATTTTCTTTTACTGCATATATTTTAATTTGCATTACAATTAAATGCATGAAAATTGAACCACTTAAATTTAAATTAAAGGGAACTTTCTACTATACCCGCCATGTTATCTGACCAGAACGAGCCACCTGGTGGTGAAACTGGTAACTACCTACTCGCCTCTGCATTAATTCTAGTGACTAACAGTACTTGTTATTTGATTATTTTGATTGTTATTTAAATTGTGATTTTAATTAATCAAACCCAAGCTAAACCCTATTACATAAAATCATCTAACTTAAATTCACTTGTTGCTGAGTAAAATCTATAATATATGCCATTTACACTTAGGGTATTCAGTTCTAACAAAGAGAAATACTTGAATGAAATATATATATGTAGGAGTAAAAAATTGAGGCTAAAATGTCTAGGGGGTGAAATGTCTAGGGGGTGAAATGTCTAAGGGGTGAAACGTCTAAGGGATGAAATGTCTAAGGGGTGAAATGTCTAAGGGGTGAAACGTCTAGGGGGTGAAGTGTCCAGGGGGTGAAATGTCTAAGGGATGAAATGTCTAGGGGTGAAACGTCCAGGGGAAGAAATGTCCAGGGGGTGAAGTGTCTAAGGGGTGAAATGTCCAGGGGGTGAAACGTCTAAGGGGTGAACAGTCTAGGGGTGAAACGTCCAGGGGGTGAAATGTCTAGAAAGCGACTAAACTACACAATGCTATCCTGAAATATATCATATGGTATTTATATGTGAATATTTCATTTAATATAATAGTTACCAATGTAAAAATGTTCAAGGCTGGTTTCTCTGAACGTTTTCTCTAACTCAACAGCAAGAAATGCGTTCTCATTTGCAGATAGGATGGATGTCAGATGACCTCTGTGTGCCCGACATACAGCCTGGGCAGCTTTTTGAGTCTTCTTCTCTGTAGTTATTAGGTAGCAGGCTGAGTTGAATTCCACTTGCCCAACAGCACATGTTTCTGTCAAAGTACAAAAAATATATAAAAGCATACGATGATACGAACGATATAGTAACGTGAATAATACAAACATTAAAACGTCAATTAACATGATAACAAAATGATAAGAAATAACTTGGATTGGATTAACTCAGAGTCATAAATAATTGATGAATTTATTATGAAATTGTTGTACTATTTCTATGTCACCTTGTACCTTTAACATACCATAAACAATTTTCCACGTTCCAGATGCTCCGAACCCAGTAACGAAATTAAGTGCATTAACGACATGCGGAGTTGGATCTTGCCAAGCTAAGAACGTATTCTGTCCAATTGCATGTCCCTTTCCAACTTGAACGTTTCCGTTTGCCCAACTCACCTGCATAGTAATTGTTAAGTTTTTTTTTTATTTTATTTATTTTATTTTTTTTATTTCATCATTTACTTATATTACATACAATATATAAGTACAAATAAATATGAATACAACCGTACAAGAATCAAATTACAATCAATCAAAAGTATAGGCATATTGAATTAAAAGTTTTTGATTAAATTTTTAATCCATAATGCTAAAACAGTTTCCCTTTCTATGACATGGAATATAGATTCATAAAAAATGTAAATTTGTAACAAAGGCTGTTCTTATATCGAATCTTTTCCAACTTTCATGATCTTCAGAAAAATTGCACCAATTATTATAAATTGTTATGCCAAGAATTGTTATTGTGACATTTCTAAATTTGGTGATATTGTTCCCTGGTAAAAATCCAGTAACAATATGTTTGTATTTAATTTGACACTTAAACTTTTCACTTAACTCTTGCCACACATGTCTTACTTTTATGCATTTAAATAACATATGTTTCATATTGTGTAATTCATGACATATTTGACAATTTCTTGGAACTTTATTATTCCATTTGGATATGAGATATCCACATGCCAGTAGATTGTTCAATATTTTGAAATTAAATTCTGAGAAGTAATTATAACTCATGTTCATTAATTTCTGATTATAAATACTTTTCCATTGATGCTGTTCTGCAATAGTAAAACAAGTACTCCAGTATGTTTCATGGATATTTCTCTCAAATTTAGAATTTCTCATAATGTTATAGAAAAATTTGGCTTTTTTACCTTCAAGTTTAATAAACTGATTTTCAATCAAAAAATCTGTTTTATCCTTTACATTAATGAAGGGTAGATTAGTTTTATCACAATTTGAACAGACACTCATAATAGCTTTCTTGATTGTATATAATTCTATCATCCAGTTCCTCTTTCCAAGTAAAACCTGAGTACATAACTGACTGCTTTTAAAAGAACCATTTGGATTAAAAAAATCTTTTACATAAACAAAACCTGACTGAATCCAGTTTTTAAAGAATAAAACTTTTCCTCTATTTTGGAATCGCCTGTTGAACCATAAAACCTCACTGAAAATATCATCACTTTTAATTTTGTCATTTGTTATATATGTTTTACATGTGTTGAATGAGCAAAATATGTCCTTATAAAAAGGTGTTAATATGTTTATACCATTTATTGATTGTTGGTTAAAGTTGCAGTTCAAGAAAGTTACTAATTTTAGACCTGTTTTCTTTATAAGGTACGATGGAAAAAGTTTCCATGATGTTTTGCTAGTAAGTAGTCGATTTATCCAAATAGACTGAAGACTTTGTATTTTAAGCTTAATATCTACTACGTTTAATCCCCCATCCTCTATTGCTCCAATTATTGAATTTCTTTTCACTTTATCCTTCCCATTCCATAAAAAGTCGAAAAACATTCTCTTAGTCTTGATTCCCAGTTTAAAGAATGACATTTTTGTTTATCCCCAATGTGAATTCCAAGGCATTTTATTGGTGTATTACTGAAAAGTATTTCTTCAATGTATTCGTCCTTTGAATCCTGAAGAGAGCCCAGTTGTATGCCTTTAGTTTTATCAATGTTTAATTTAAGCCCACTAACCCTTGAGAATTTCTCTATTTTCTGTAATGCAGCTTTAAGAGATTCTTTATCTGATAAAATTAAAGTTGTATCGTCTGCGTGTTGTATTATTTTGATATTTTTATTCTCTATTTCTATACCATGTATTTTATCATCATTTTTAATTGAAACGGCCATTACTTCTGTGCAAAGAATAAATAGCAAAGCCGATATAGGGCAACCTTGCCTTATTCCCCTATACATTTGAAAGCTATCCGAAAACCACCCATTATTTTGAATTTTCAAGACTGGGTCGTTATACAAAATTTTTATCCATCTTTTGAAGTTATTTCCAAAGTTAAATTTGTCAAGTGTTTTGAACATAAAATTCCAATTAATAGAATCAAATGCTTTTTTGTAGTCCAAACATACTAATAAACCTGGTATATCTTCAATATTAGAGTAATCTATGATATCAAGAAGCAATCTAGCATTATAGCCGATAAAACGGCCAGGACTTGTTAAGTATAGTAACAACATAGTAATACGTTACAGTGACCTTTAAATTCTTTTGATTTTCATATTGACCAATTTAGGAGTTATTAGATATCGAGTGCTGTAATATGTTTGAGTTCTTGTGTGAAATCATATTCTTATAGTTTTTTCTATGTCTCTGTGTGAATATATACATTTTTCACTTACCCAAAATGGCATCATTTCAGTACAATTTAGTATGGAACCTCTATGAGAGACCTTAAGCGAACCTTCTGGCCTGTCACGTATACCCGAATTAGGGTTCCATGACCATCCGTTTAGAACAATCTGATAATTGTTCTTATTTGTGACATAAGGCGTCTCTTGAAGTTCTAGATGTGCATCATTACATGCCTCCACTTTGAATTTAATATAGTTTCTTCCGCTGACATCTATCGGTACATGGCGATATCCAAAATAGTCTGGAGTTCTGATGTATCTAGATTCGAACGGATCATATATCAATAGGCTTGAACCTGAAACGAAAACCGAGTTTAAAAAACGCAAGAACATATGCGTTACGCCAAGGCAATGCCATTAAAATGATAAAAAATACATAAGCTTATTCTAAAATTGTAGTATTATTTCTGTGGGATCCTGTACCTATATCAACAATTTCCCATGTTCCAGACGCTCCGAACCCAGTAACGAAATTAAGTGCATTAACGACATGCGAGGTTGGATCTTGCCAAGCTAAAATTATATTCTGCCCAATTGCATGTCCCTTTCCAACTTGAACGTCTCCGTTCATCCAACTCACCTGCACAATAATTGAGTATTTTATGTGACTTTGAATAAAAATGAAATCTTCATCGTATAATAGCTTAGTATTCGAATTCTCTGTACCATAAATGTTCAAAAAGTTCTGCCTTTAATAATCGAGTGCTTTAATAATATGTTTGCGTCCTTTGGTGAATGTATTAGATTTCCACTTACCCAAAATGGCATCATTTCAGTGCAATTCAATATGGAACCTCTATGAGAGACCTTAAGCGAACCTTCTGGCTTGTCACGTATACCCGAATTAGGATTCCGTGACCATCCGTTTAGAACAATCTCATAATTGTTCTTATTTGTGACATAAGGCGTCTCTTGAAGTTCTAGATGTGCATCATTACATGCCTCCACTTTGAATTTAATATAGTTTTTTCCACTGATATCTATCGGTACATGGCGATATCCAAAATAGTCTGGAGTTCTGATGTATCTAGATTCGACTGGATCATGGATCAATAGATTAGCCCCTGGAACAAAAAAATGTAACACTCTAGTATACTCTTATTAAGTTGCTTTTACCTTGCTCGACCTTTTTGGCAAAAAAACTTGACATTCACACGATGAATTTTGAACAAGCAATGAAATGGTATCATTGACTTTTTAATATCTTATCGAATGTTTAATCCCTTGCTCGCCTATGTTATGCATTTTTTACTGAAATAGGATGAAACCATTACCTTTGTCTTCCCATGTACCATTTGCTCCATTGTCTGTAATAAAATTGATTTCGTCTATATCATTTGGAATAGGATCTTGCCAACCCATCAAGAAATCTTCTCCATACACATGCCCTCTGCCGACTTGAATATTACCGTTGGCCCAACTAACCTATACATTAAAAGAATGTTAATCACGGCATATGAATAAACTCAAGTATACTTTACAAACAAAATCTTTTATAAAATGATGTGTTGTTAACCTACCCAAAATGGCCTCATCTCGCTACAACTCAACGTTGAACCTTTGTATGAAATTTCAAACTTGGTCAGTTGTGTATTACGTATACCGGATTGAGGATTCAATTTTCTCCCATGAAGTAAGACATCATATCCTTTATCATTTGTATTCCCATTCTTTTGTTGTAGGATCACATGAGCATCGTGACATGCCTTTACATTGAACTTGATAAAATTCTTTCCTGTGACATTTATTGGTTGATGGCGATACATCCGGTCGTTTGGGGTAGAAATAAAACCTGTAGGCAAGATATACTTATCACTATCTTTCCGAACATTAAATGCGTGAGTAATCAACAATCAGATATTTAGTGATGACATATTTGAACGCCCCCCCCCCCCCCCCCTTCAACATTTAAAAAGCAATCTAAATACTGTACATGGACGTTTTTCACATGATATGATCTTTGATGATTTTCCAATACAGTTCCTTCCGCCATTAACGGGAGGAATGCATGTCCGACTCTCAGACATAGTTCCAACTCCGCAAGTCACACTACAGTCAGTGAGGCCTTTCCATTGTGTCCAGGCTCCATCTGAAAAGTTGAACCATTCTGTGGGATCACGTCATTGTACTCATTTTTAACATATTGACGGGTAAGTTTATCCAATTGGTGACAAAATACAATGTTATGTTCAATTTCAAATGACTAGCGTGTGCTGATAATGAGTTGTAAAATGAAAATCACTTTCGAATGTGTTGGTTTGTTAAGCAATATGAAAATAAAGGTCACAGAACTGTTTAATTTTATCATCGTTGGCATTATTTGTTACATGATCACCGTCTCTATTCCGTAAGAATAATGAGACTACTAGCATACTTGTGCAATTCTGCTCTTCCTTTTTCAATACATCTCTTTGGTAGCTCTGGTAAAGCGGTCCTTGACCTGGCAGGTAGCCATATTCAGGAAAAAATCCAGATCTCAATCTGGATCTCTTGTTATTCTTGAAACATCTGCTCCACGGGCTCCACTTGATCCATTCTATAAACATATGAGACCGAATACAATAGTTCACATGGACTAGTTTGAAATGGTTAAGCTGGCGAAAGATGCCATCATGCTTCTCGATCGATTGATGCTATTTAGTTGGTGTTGGTGTTGGTCACGTACTGTGGATGACTATTCCGTACAAGTTGATTTGTTTACACTTATACAACGGTATACAACTGACCATTTTAAGAAAAAGATCTCCTTATCCTATGGAAACGAAGATTATGTTTCACAGCAACTTTGGAGGGCGATACTGTATAGCACCTGAGACTAACATATGATGGTCTCAGATAGCACACACTCTGGGGAATTGATTCTACTTTCTATAGACAACAAAATCTGTGAATAGAAGAACGAAAAAGCCCAAACTTTGACATTAACCCTAATAAGAATCGGAAATTGGCTCGGCCATATTCGGTTGAATGGCATCATTTGGTCCTCTCCCAATGAGATGATGTACGTAATACCTAAATATTAACAAGAGTGTACCATTGCATATTCAAATATGCCAGGTGTGTCTCAGCCAATCAACTTACCCATGACAGTTTGCGAGATCCACTTCATATGATAGTCGAGAGATGTATGTGTGTAGTTCGTGGGTCCTCTTATACATCCGGATGGATATATGTAGCTGTTCAGACCAAGTACAACCATTTTTTGGTTAGGTATATAGTCCATCGTTGCCGTGTCTACATCACACATCAACGGACTTCCGCTGTACCCCTAATGTTTTAGTTTGGTAGAAATAATAGATTCACCAGCAGATATATAATTTCATTCCCTTGTGCTTTCTCTTTTGTCTCAAAACACAATTTTATTTCCATGTCATGAACTACTTATTCTCTCCTTCAAATAGTATTTCAAATAATGAGATGCATGCAGACATACAATATCCAAAATGAAGAGGAGTAGTGTTTATCACTTACCATACAAATTACTTTCTCTCTATCTATTCTTTCTGATCTTACAATTGCATGGTTTTCGTTTTCCTCAATTTGTACCTCTATTGTATTGCCTTTGTTGGTCACCTTCTTATTCGGACCTGTGCATGAACAGCAATGATCAGAACAAATCATTAACATGACAATTAAAATGTCACCACCAGCTATTGGAAATTGTAAGGATTTGTTAGGCTGCAGAAGCCGAACAACGCCGAACACTGTCCACAAAAAGTTGGAGTCTGACATAATATTATGTCACATCTTCATTGGTCATAAATTGCACCATAAATCATAATATCTCGGTCTTTCTTTCTTAACTAAACTGTTTCATAATGAAGCAAAAATTGGGTATTACCAACTCTAATGTGTTAGTTAAAGGTAGAAAGTAAAGGTAAAGACGATGCATAAGTTCCAGTTAAGTCTGAACGACATTTTTTTTGCACACTGGGTAGTTTGACAACGCTTTGTTAACGAAAATAAAACTTTTGTTGGCAGAATGCTTGACTCGACGTGTATAATCTTACCTTCTCCCCATCCAGTTGTGAAACAATAAGTCATCATTGCGAAGTCCCGGTGCGTTTTTAAGCATTTACGATCCATTGCTTCGATACACGTCCTAGCAGGAAGAAGACTTGGCTGAACAAATGGATTGAACATAAACTCCAAGGGTCTGTTAAGTTTGATGAGTGCTATGTCATTTATGTATTCGATTTCCCTAAAGTGATTCACGGAGTAATTCTGGTGTACAACGATGTGTTCCAAACCCGTTATTTGTTCAGTGTCGTGAGTTTTATCCAGCTTCCATTCGCCTGCAGCTATCCTCCACCGGCCCATATCACATCTGAATATTGGGCGATAAACGTCGCTTGTATAACGTCAATGGATTAAATATACAGGGCATATCGCGCTTACGTAACGCCAGGGATTAAATACAGGGCATATCGCGAGGGGGTGACGACTAACTATCGACCGACGGTTTTGCAGAGGGCTTCAGTATATCCCTATCGAACAACATTCGCTGGGAAAATAAAATACATATTCAATACATACTCATGAGAAAAAAGCAATCTCCCTCGTAGGAGGTGTACCTACGTGACTTTCTTCTCAGTCTTGTCCCAACAACCACTTTTAGTGATACAATGGGCCGCTGTTAGAACCCAAATGTTACTCAGAATGACCCCACCACAACTATGCTCGTAATCACTTGCACCCGACTTCTTGAACTTAAGAGAAACTACCCACGATAACTTTTCCCTCTCCTCAACTTTTACATTTGAGCCGGTTGCTTTGACAATATAAGCTGGTACCGAGCCATTGCCAGAGTAAATCTTTTTATATTCGCTTTTTACGTCGATATCTATAAAAAAAATACACCATTGTCAATGAAGAGTACTGGCTGCACAATTAGGACTACGCATCAAATGAGTACAAGTGAATTTACAACCATTTATGTATCCCTTTTCTAAAAATACTACAACTATCATAAAATGACGCGCAATGGGTAATTCAAAATTGCTTTGGTCGTACACTTTAATTGTAAAATAAAAACTGATCAAACACAAACAATATTATTATATTAAGTGTACGATACCACAGCACTGCTTATTGTCAGTATGTTTTCCTCCAAATCTGGTACAACGTGACGGGTCGAGCTCATTACCACCTTCCCCCAAGCACGGCCTTTCTCTGTAGACAATGTTACATTTGCTCGTATCGCATGCACTCCAGTCTCCCCAGTCGCCCCACATCACTCGGCCTTCATCCGAAGAATCTGCAAACAAAAGGCTGCGTATTATTTTTCGAAAATTAATATCAAAACCGAGGGGATCAATGTTACTGGGTTCAAGGACGGGTTATAGTTGAACAAATAGAATTGATATCAAATATGGTGTATTGTAATTAGCGGAAATACAAATCTATATGTACTATAAAATGTGTGTTGTATAAATTACTCAAGTATGAATAGGGGAAAAAATTATCTTTTCAATTATTTCATCACTGATTTCACGACACAACAGATCTAGTTTAATCACAACAGAAAGTTCTGAAAACATATAGGGTTTATTTTAGATGTCACAAGTTCTTGACATGTCATATTTTTCCTCACCTAATTTTCTCAGTATTTCACTAACTTTGTCATCCAACGATTGCATCTTATTATTCACCTCTGTTTTAAAATCAGCGGGGCTTTTATTTAGAATATCATCTCTGATGATTTTCAGCTCCTCTCTTAACAAAAGTACGTCGCGCTTTATCGTGTATGTTTCTGCTGCCGTAGTGTGTACAGCATCTGAAATATAGCGACATTCACGCTGATATTCAATTTGTTTATTCTGTGTTTTAGTACACTGAACTATTCTCTATCAGAATATTAATGCAAGTTTTGATATATTTTTTTCATTTTCTGAAATAAAAATATCCTTGGACCAACAAAATGAAAGTGGTGGTTATTCGCCACAACAAACCCTGCGATTGGTAATTTATACAATATTTCAGATTTATAAAGGTACAGTTGGGGACAAAAATAAATGACAGGTCGATTTTCGATCACCATTTCCTAATTATGGTGGTCTGAAAGCCCATAATTTCCAATATTGTCTAGATACATATCCCTTAAAATTTGTATATTTTACATTTTGTATAATCTCATCCACTGATTTATGGCCTCTTGTAAATTCTCTTATTTTTAACATGGGAAATCCTCACTTCAGCAAATCCACCTGTCATTTATTTGTCCCCAACTGTATCATTGGAAATATCATTTTTTGATAAACTTATGTGAATGATAATAAGATTTAATCATCTGAGTACGAGAAATGTTTCCATTATTTATTAAAATGCTCAAATGAATGTTCATGTTTTAAAGTAAGTGTTTTAAGTAAAATGTTAACTATCGATTGGAGCCTGTTCAATTTAAATGATTCTGAAATATTTGGAGACCATATTTTATCAGTTGTTTCAAATCATGTCTCATTATGTAAATCTCTTTGTCATAGTTGTTCAATGCAATATAACTTAGAAAATTAGTTGCCAGTTTTCTAGACAAAAACTGGTTGACAAAAAGAACATACTCATCCCTTGTACTGTTGTATCAGCTATACGTCAATTAGTAATTTGATTAAGTTGAATTACCCGAACTTGGTAACCGTGAAATCATTGAATTACATGTACGAGTCGATCAAAACGTGTCGGACGCCATATCCAGTATCACAGTAAAACAAACGCTTATATTTTATAACGGTATATATTTAATTACACGAATGTCAAAGCTGAATTTTGTAACAAATAATTGATTTGTACTCACCGAAGCTCACTAATGCAACGATTACTACCAGGATCATTGCGAACCTCGTAATTTAATTCTATCTTGTCAAATCTACTTTTATTTGTTAAGCCCCAGAATCATCGATGCGACTTGAGTTGTCAAGTCGGAATGGTAATCTATGATTTAATCATCGTTTAATAAATCCTGTGATCTGGAGAGGAGGAGCGACACTTGATTGATTTGGTCGAATTAGCCAATCACAGTGAATATACGGCTGGATTCAGTAGTACACATCCTCCCGGAACGTTAGATCGTCGATTTAAAAAAGCGCCATGCTTTGTAAAACGCGATGTTTAATCAAAGTGAGAATCAGATCGAGCGAGCATACAATATAAAACATGTTTTAATTTGAGAATATTTTTGCATACTTTTCTCCAAGAAAACTAACGATTTTTACAATGATTATTTTGGTACAGTTTAAACATTTTCACATATCGCAAATATTTTGGAAGATGTATTCAAGAACATAAGGGACATATTGGTAGGGCAATTGTACATATTGCTTGCAAATGTTTCACCCCTCTCCCTATACCCTAAAAATATGGTTTATTTTCCAATTACTTAATGATATTTTTCACTTTGGATTCGATAAAACGCAATAATTTTTGTTTCCATTTTCTATTATCCAAATAGTCAATATAAGTTTCATTACCAAGAATGAATAATTAATCCAAACGTTGGAAATAACGATAATAATATGTAAACAGTTGGTATGTTTAAACCTCGTATATATACCTCACAAGGATATGAGAACAATATGTGTGGTTTTGTGTATTCTATGCATCTAAACCTCAATACCTGTATAGATGCATTTATTTGCATTGCAATAAACTATTCAGAGCAATAAAGGTGAGTCTAACCACTGAAGCATGTAGTGGAATTCAAACAGGATTCATACGAAAGGACCACAAATACACCAAAAGCCCTCATGATGTTAGACGTAAAGTCATCCCTCAGGGACTTGGTTAGATTTAACTTTAGAGCCAAAACCTATAGGTGAGCGTTTATGCAACACATGACCCTCATCAAACCATATCTAATGTATAACATTAATCTAGAAGATCGTACATTTGTTAAAGGGTAGTTTACTTATTATATCATGTCTCTCGGGTATGTCTTCAATCGTTTAAGGATTTTGAGTCTGGTCTTTCAAACTTCTGTATGGCTTCTATGGCACTTGGTTTAGGTGTCACTTTTTCATTTCCTATACTACTTTGTGTCGACATTAGACAAATCCATGGTAATTAAATAACATTTTGCAAGCTTTGCTCTCAAATGGTGATTGCTCAGTCTTCCACATGGGTAAGATGGAAGGTCATCAAATTTCTCATTGAAAACGATGATGTCATCTAAATAAGCTGCGATGTAGTCTTCTGCACCTCTTACTAGTTCATTTACCATTCTTTGAAATGTTACTGGGGCTCCATGGAGACCAAATGGCATCACTAGAATTGGAATATTCCCAATGGTGTCCGAAAAGCACATTTTATATGTCTCACTTCTCTTCTGTAAGAAGTATCTGCCAAAATCCTCTGTAAAGATCTGTGATCCACTGTACTGTGCTTTCTGAAGCTCGTCTATAAAGCAGTCTGTTCTTGGCATCGGGTTGTGATTGAATTTCGAGACACTGTTAAAGTATTGAAAATATATGCAGAATCTGACTTTGTTATCTTACTTAGGAATCAAGACAACATTCACTTTAGAGGGTTCAAAAACATTGTGTCTAATCAGGTCTCTTCTTCCAGGTTCATTGGACAGAACATCATTGAAATGATCACCTCATTATACCGACGCGTATTATACCGAAACCCATTATACCGACGCGCATTATACCGAAACCCATTATACCGACGCGCATTGTGCCGAAAAGGCCTACCGATGCGCGTTGTACCGAAATCCGTGCCAGTGGGACGGCACATTGTCTTAACCCATCAGTTTTATGACGTGCACTTCCGCGTGGGACTAAATCTTTACAGCGGGAATTTCAAGTTTTTGTCAGTGTAGACATAAAAAGTAAAGTTGCAGTTCTCATACTCGCGCGTTTTTCAATATTTTCATTTGAAACTCGCAAGAACGGTGCTTTGAATCTAGCTCTATACTCTTCAAAACGTCATGTAGACACATGATTATGTACATGTATGACAATGCACAGTAACATTATATAGGCATAGAATAATAAAAGTGGAGCCTGAAAAGTCAAATATGGTGCTATGTTGAAAAGCCAAGAGAAATTCTACTGTATCAGCATATAAAATAGATAGTTTATATATTACTTTATCAAACACCTTGGTTCAAATTACACATGATTTTTTCATTGAACAGACAAGTCTTGAAAATTAAAAATTCATTTTTATTTACTTCCACAATATTTTGACTTTAAACTTTTTAATATGAGACTGGATGTCAATCTGTTGTTTATATATTCATATTCAATTAAATGTTTATCGCGCAAAAACATATTTTCAGATAAAGCTTAATTTAAAACCTTTGAACATCTTTACATCTCAGTTGCGGCCAGAAATTTTTTAACTGATGCAAGGCGTTTCGGATTGAGGGGTCGTCCCAACAAACTTAATTCCAGTTAACCATCAATTTCTTATTTCATAGAGGATAAAGTCATAATTCTATTATTCATGTTTGATTATGGTAAACCATGTACTTCATAAAATATATTTAACCGTGGTAAATTCTGTATTCAATGAAGTAAACATTTATTTATACTGTATTGTTTCGTTGGTAGAAATAAATAATTGTGCTTTTAAATATAAAGTTTCACATTTCTTATTGAACTTGATAATTACTGTATTTTCGATCTTGTGCTGATGGGGCCAAAAATTGTTGTCATGGAGAGAGAGCAAGATATGTTGTCATGGAGATAGTAACAAACGCATTCATTTGTTTTACATTAATTCTGAAGTTATTATATTTTCTTACCATAAAACATTTCTTTTCATATAATACTTCTAAATTGGCATCATTTCCATGTTTAAATTGCTAAAATAGTTTTTGGCTACTGATATTATCTCTATCATCAGTTTTCATTCCACAAACGAAATATCAATTATTTTGCCCAAAATTTCCGTTTCATTATTTTGAAACATTGAATACATGTTTTAATTGGCAGTTTAAAATGGCGCTCACTAACTAAGTCCAATATTCAGCGTCCCTTTAATATCTATTTAGGGTCAAATCAATACTAGACTTAGCAGGTCATCTGATTCTCAATTTGATTTTCGTTTGAAATGATTCCCAATTGGGACCCATAGTGACTTTGCTCCACCGTTCTTGGTTGAGTTTAAGTCATGGCTCTAATTGGTACAAGAATTAAGCTACCCACGAATGCTGTTTTTCCTCCGGGGCCTTGCCATAACTAACGAAAACAATGGTGTGGACTTTTCTGGATTATTTCCGGTGTTTCATTTTGTTGCTACCTCATTTCTCATAGTAACCATTCCAATTTCTTGACTCTGTTGAAAGCCCATGGTCCAATCAACCGTACCTCCTTATCTTATGATGACCACACAAAATGATAGAGCGTGGGAACCGACTGTGCCAAATGCTACGGATATTGCAGCTATGTGTGTTGTGTTTTCAAGTGTTATTTTATATATATGTCCGACAAATCGAATTATGGTTTTGATACTATAAATATATTTAATAGTATCTATATGTCTCGTTCATTCATTTGACCAATAAAAATCATAACTGCCTGGAAAGTAATATGAATAAAGTATGTAAATAAATTAATTAAAACGTCAAATTAAGAAGCAAAAGTCTTTTCTGGGTCACTGCGAATGGCATGATTTCCTCGAGTCTCTTCAGTTGCAAGGCAACCATACTGGGACCGATTCGCGTCGTTCCACTACTGCCCTTGGTGGGGGCCCGCTGCCATACTATATGACTCCCGGAGTTTACTAAAGCACGTTAGTGGAGGAACCAACCACAGTCTCACAATCTGTCTCCGGCAAGAGCGACCAGAGAACCAACCCATGCCAAGGGCCGGTAAACGGTTGGACCTTCGGACCGGGTGTCCGTAGTGACAATGATCAACAACTCCGTACCTGGGGCTCGAACGCGGGATCTCCGTATCCCACGACGTTCAACCGCAAAGTAGCCTCAGTCTACGCCACTAGGCTACCCTGCTTAGGTGTCAAAACTGCTAAAAAATAATGTAGTTGTTACAATTATTTGCTTGGATAAACATCATATTACATTTCTTAATTGATTAATCTGATTTAGTTGGAATCGAAGTTCGATCAAGGTAATGCAATCAACAACTCTTGCAAATGTGAACGGGAGTCGTAAAGACAGAAAGTACAAGATTCGTGATCAATGTAAAGTATAATATTTAAGACACGTCTTTGAATATCAGGTAGGAGAAACATTCCAAAATGAAGAAGAATCATTTAGAACATTTGATGTGTTGTTAATATATCAATTGCATCTCAAATGAATGAAATAAAAGGTATCGCGGGCCACCAAAGCCGATGAGTGAAAACAATTATAATTGACGCATCTAGATCGCTCAATATAACGGTAAGTGAATAGGTTTGTGTAGATACGTCGAGGAAAATAAGTTATTTCGATGCTTGAAATAATCTGATTACGCTTATTAATAATTACGCGTGGCTATTAAACACAAGTGTTGTATAGAACAAAAACAAGAAAACTGAACGACCTATTAAGGAACTGTACTTCAGTTTCAAAGCGTTCAAGATATTTCCGCATGTTCAAAAACACAAAATTTATATTTAAGGCTATCCTAGCATTGCCCAAGTCGGTCTCTTTTACTATCTTGATTTCTATTATGACCGCCTTGTACCAAAGAGAAAGCCACGTGCTTTACCGACTCAATGTTTATGTCGGTAAAATTTGACCAATCAACGATGGCCCTGCAGCGTTAGCTCATTATTATGCACGGTCAAAAACAAGTACACTTTTTACTTTTCGCCGGGACTTTTCACGAACAAACTTGCATGAATTCATTATGAAAATACAAATATTTTATCAGATAAATATCAATCAGAGTTTAGTGGATGCCGGAGCATCGATCGGTAATCGGAGGTGAGAAGATTTCAACAATAAACGTTGAAACGATCGCCGGCTGAATTCAAATGAACATGTAGGCTGAGATTCAATCACTGATCGACTACATGACCCGCTACATTGGACTCGGTCTTGCATTTTCATCGCGAAATCAGTTTTAAATCTATTGCATGATTTAATTTATATTAATGACTCTTACATTCCCTATGTACATTTAATTACATAATATATTGTAACTCTAAAGAAACGATCGATCAGATCATCGGCATTGAATTTCAAATCGGGAAGATTGCTTTGCTTATGCAGGTCAACCTGATAACGTTTTTGATTGGTCAATCAGCCTGAAGTCACACGTCGTGTCCACGCGTATATCTGTTAATCAATAAGGTTTCGCGATACCCCCGATAGCTTAGATCTTAGTTTTTGCACTGTTATTTACCTTTATTCAAATTCTAGAGATTATTAAGTTTTCTAAAAATGGTCGGGCTAAATTCCCATTGACAAAGTAACATACATTGGTAATATAACAGGCTTTCGTCAATGTAACAAAAGCGGGGGGCTTAGTATATGAATTACTGCTTCATTTACAAAACAAATTCCAAATCGAAAAAACTTATTAAAACTAGGCTATATTTTCTAGCTTTGGGCTAAATTATAATCTGCAACTTGACTTATTAGTAACTTTAAATCGAGAAAGCAAAACATTCGTAACCAGGAAGATCATCCATTTTGTTACATTGACGTTCCTTCAAAGTCACTAATTGTGGAACAGTGATTATGGCATTCGGTATAACGCCTTTCGGTACAATGCGCGTCGGTATAATAGGTTTCGGTATAATGCGCGTCGGTATAATGGGTTTCTGTATAATGCGCGGACCCATTGAAATCATTCATCTGAACATGGTTGGTGTGCTGTCTAGGTCATATGGGCATTTAAGTCATTATTTTAGATATGTACATCTGGTTTTGCTGTTATCACTATTATGTCTTCTATACTGCTGTCATTTTCATCTTCTGTCATCATGGAGCAATATTCTTCTCTGTCTGTGCATTTTCAAGAAGGTCGATGATATGGTAAATCGTGGCCTTGTTACCGATTTCAACTTCGTAGTTTACCTTTCCATGGCGTTGCATTACATTGTAAGGTTCATTCAATTTTATCTCACTTGTATAGGGAGTAACAAAACATCATCTCCTGGCTCCAATGTATTTTCCATACTCTTCTCATCATAGTACTTCTTATGTTTGTTTTTTGTTTCTGTTGCGTTAGTTCATGCTAGTTTATGCAAGTTTACGAGGATAGCTTTTCTCTCATGTTGACTATTTCTGTACAAGAGTTTGTGGAGTATCTTCTTTTGCAACCCAGTTTTCCTTCAATATATCCAATTTACCTCTTATGCCTCGTCCATTAAGGAGTTCAAACAGAGAGAAATCCGTTGTTGGATACTGTTGAATACTTTCTGGTCATCATGAGAAATCATGGCCTTCTATTAGCTTCACACTAGTATGTTCTGGTTGAAGAAAGAAAGATGTGATGAGTATCAGAATGCTTTCTGGTATGCAAACGTTTTCTGGTATCCCAAAGTTTTGACTCATTTGCTCCAATCTTGCGTAACATGTTGGCCAATGTGCCATTAAAGTGTTCCACTTGGCCATCAGTCTGCTGATGGTAAGGTGTACTTGTACTGCTGCCACCATGTGATGTTTTACATATTATATATTACCTTGCTCTAAGTCGTCCTGATACATCTTTCACGACGGGGCCCCCTTGACTACAGTGTAATGTGGAACTTTGGTCGGAACGTAATCTTGGTGATGTGTTATCATTGCATAATTCTTCTAGTCTCTTTGCATTTGAACTCTATGATTAAACTTCAAATTTTACATGTTGCTTGTTTGAGTCTTGATCGTGAAGTGACCTCAGTCCTCAAATTGACTTGCTTATGATTCTCAAGTTTAAATGCGTTCTTGTGCCCTCTTTTTATCTAAATTATAGGTTTTTGACTTTATTATACATTGCATGAATGTCCCGCAAAATCGCACGAATTTAGGTCAATGTCCCAGGAAATCTCGGAATGTCCCACGAAATCAAGCGAATTTAAGTCCATAAATCTGTCCCGCGGGAAAATCTTCGGGAATTGACAGCATTGCTCTTATAACCATTATCATTCCCTACTCAAAATCTTACATTAGCCATTTATGTTTCAATAAATGGGAATTTGTCATGTTGCTCTAGTCAAGAGCAAATGGCATGCCAATATGACAGTGGAGCACGCCCTATTATTTACAACACAATATTTTTAGACGATAATGCAAATATTATCAAAATTATGATAACAAAAACTGTACCACGGGTACTTGACTTACACAGAAATATGGTTTCAATAAGCCACCATTTTACCATTTGCTCTAATACCAGCATCTAAGAATAGAGACAATGACAGTTAAAAAAATAATTTCCTCAATTTTGCAGTGTTTTTCTGCTTTAAGCATTAGATGTTATGCCTACAACTTCTAACAATTCCTTCGAATAATCCTAAAAAAGGATGATGTCTCCACTGGAAATTACAGCGAGATGGATGGATGGACGGACGGACAGACGATCAAGTGGGTAATTTTAATACTATGCAGACCGTGTGAGCTGAAAATGTCAAACCACATTACTGTCTGGAGTACATGTATATCATTAACTTATTTTGTAAGTCATTTCATTAAAGGATTACTAAATGACAAAATGGCTTCATTATGGAATCTAACTGCTTTTACTCTTATGGTGATTTTCATAGAATATGGAAACTGCAGTGATATCATGGAGGTGCAATGGAATGGAAAAAATGTCCAGATCTTTAACAGGCCTACAGCAATTTTTGGTAATTCAGTTTTTAATAAACGATTTATTACACCTACAATCCAAGGTCACGGGCTAAGATCCAAAATAGGCAAAATCAAACGAAAAGGGTAAAAGTTTAGCCAAAGAGAACAACGATATCATGTTACATAATTTTCAGAATTTCAGGTGAAAACCCTCTTTTGACCTTTCCTCCCTACCCCATGAGATTGGTAGATTAATCTTTTTGAGTTCCATAATTAAAATCTATGATCATATAGAGGATTTCAAGATTAGTAAAAGTAAAAGTCCATGACTATGGTATTTTGAGGGAGATTTGCTTTCCAGATGACATAATTGTGTATACATAGTATTTAATCCTAATATTGGGTGAATCCCTGTTCTAAAGGAAGACATGACAGTCTTTCAATATTTTCTATATTGAATTTTTCTAATTTTTTTTCAAATATGATATATTTCTAGGAATTTTTGTTTTTATGACTGGAAACATATATTGGACAGAATCACACCTCATATTGATACAAAAATGCCAAAAATGATATAAGACATGGCTCTTCAAAACTCAATTTCTTATTTAACATTAAACATTGTAGGAGAGTCCCAGGATTGTCTACCAGGTTTCTTCAAAGGTATATGGCAAAATGAAAGTTGCTACATGTTTGTCTTGACTGGAATGAGCAGGTCTGAAGCTGCGGCGTTTTGTACTGAAGCTGCAGTAGGAAATGGTTTAGTGGCAGTTGAAAATGAGCTTGACCAATCCTATATTGTGGCACAAATAGTCATGCAACCAGGTTATACTCTTATTTAGGGTTTTATATAAATGTTTGCACATATTTGTCATTTCCATGGGAAAGGTAGAAAAAGTGTATGCAGGAAATATGAGTTCAATTGCAATGAAGGTCTTTGGCTCATTGAAGTATGAAGATTCGTTAAGATAGGACAATGCAGACATTAAGCTATGCAATGTTTTCCACAACGTAATCGAGAACGCAAAGTCCATGGAGCTCGACAGTTGAATGTGTAAGATACAGTACAACACGAGGGTGATGAAATTTGAACAAACTGATGTTTTCATCGTTTAAGAGAGATGTAGTACAATTTCTAGATATTTGTAACAATACCCTAGATAGCGAACTTGACGGTGAATTTTATTTACCAACTCCTTATGGTATAACACGTGGGTAAATTACAGTATAACGCAGATTGCGATTTCTTGTGTTGTACCTTGCCGTTACCTCGTGTTATACCGTATTTGAAGTTTTTGTAGGTTTAACTATGGAATTCACAGTTAAGTTCAATGTCTATGATGTTGTTACAGACATTTACATATAAAAATATCTAGAAACTAGACCACATCTTTCTGCAAACATCTGTTTGCTCACATTTCATCACCCTTCTGTTGTACCATACCCCGCAGTCAACTGTCACGCTTAATTTTGTATGTACCCTGTGATGAAGTAATACAGCTATATGTATAGCGCGCATACACGACAAGCGCTTCTAGTTTAGATACCCGATCAGCTTCAGTTTCGTGTTTAGAATGGGAGATTAGAGAGGTTTCGCAAAACGCTTTTTAGCTCCACGTATCCGTATCCGTAACGTATTTACCAGATTTATGCGTTGTCAGTTCAATTTATACGTGAAATGGTACGGAAAACACGAAAAATGAGGCTTCTGTACGTTGGTCATTTACGTATCCGATTTTACCCTTCGATTATATTGTTTTTAGTTCTAAAGGTATCACTATATGAACAAGCACAGTGTGCTGTGTATAATTTGACTAAAATTTGGTGAATGAATTTGTTTATTGTTTGAAATAAATCGAGTTTTTCAAATGGTATGTTCAATTCATTTTACACTGTATGGAATGGTATTGCAATAATTACAGTGTACATGTTTCGCACAACGTTTTAGCTACCCGTATCAAAATCCGTAACGCATCGATGGAGTAAAAGTGTACTCAATACGTATTTGTGATACCAACAGCAATACCGAAAGTACGTAAACTAACACTTTCTGTGCGTAGTTGTCTCCGTATCTATTTTGTCCTTCAAATCTTGATAAATTTTTCCCTAAATGTATAATTTTAGTAACCCACATATGTTATCATGTGTATCTTGCTAATTTTGATGAAGTAATAGCCTTATCTGCCGATAAATTTGATTATAAGCGAGGGGCCTGTACTGCAATATGTACGAATAAAGCTTTAGTCACATTTGCTTATAGGCAGATGTAAGGTCTATCGTTTCTGGGGTCAATAGTAATACCGTAGTCAATTTCTTAGGGACATCAAACCAATGGCCATGGTTAGCAGCTAGGCCACCTGAACACATATTTTGTGCCTGAAGTCACGCTCCGAATTCATATAGAGCAGGGACTTGGGCTTAGTTTGAATATAGTAGCTTGGTCCTGACCTCGACAATGAATGTGATATTGGGTCTAAAGATGGCGCCCCGCATCACTCTTGCCCGTATCCAGCTTGTGGCAAGGGGGAGCTTTTTGGCTTAAAACTCCCGAAAAGTGCTCAGTATGATGCAAAACTGAATGATTTTGAAAAAATGTCTAGCCAGGTAGCTTCTTCCCGTGGTATGACTTGAACACGCATCAAGTCGATGCGATCTATGTCAAATAGTAAGCGGCCTCGTTTGGAGGTCCAAGGAGACTAAAGCTTAGTGCCCAAGCTTCCCGGAACCACCGTCAGTGATTATGTAACAGGTAGAGTATATTTCTTTGATCCTAGGATGATGATATTGGCGTATCATTTCCTATTTTCATTTTTGTAAAGACAGGCCTGACATCCAGATCCTGTAGTGGCTCTTCTCTCTTACATATGAGTCACGGTAGGGGCCCCAGATGTTCCTAACTCTTGGGTAGTGGTCCATGATGTGTTCTTCATTAGCAGCCTTGTGATGATAGGGAAGGGGGGGGGGGTTGTTATTCAAGTACATATTCAGTAGATATCGGATTGTCCCTGATTGTTTTGTGCGATTGTCTCCAGTTGGAATAACTTAGTTGAGTAAATCGGTATCAACGTTTCGTTGTTGTTTATTGGTTGTGCCTGATTGTGTTTTGATGGGTTGAGTAAATCGATTGAGTATTTGTTTAAGCCTGGTTGTGTAATGGTGGGTTAGTGTCATGTAGGTATAGGTTTTGCCGAATTGTGTTGTGTATGTTTGAGACTCGGTTCTCTTTTGATGGTTGTTAGTCTGGTGATTTAGTATCGGGTTGTGTCCGATTGTGTTATGTTAATCTTATTATGGGTTGTTTTCTCTTGTGAATATGTTATGTTGGTTGGCTAGCTGGTTGTGGCTAGTCGGTTGAGGTATATTGTTGTGTCTGATTGCGTTTTGTGATTGGCGTTCTCTCCAATTGGGTTAAGTTAGTTGTGTATCTCGGTATTACAATTTTAAAGAGTTTTTTGTTTGTGCCTGATTTTGTTTTGATTGTTTTGTTTTGGGTTTTGAAAAATTGTGTTCTGTTCTTGAACAATGGGCTGTCTTTGCTTTTGTTGATTTACCATTGGGTTGTGCCAAATTGTGTGGTGATAATTTCACAGTTCGATGTGTTTTCATGGTTGTTAGTTTAGTTGTGTTTTATTGGTTGTGCCTGATTGTGTTTTTATTGTTTAGTGTTGAATTGTGCACAATTGTGTTGAGTTAATTCAACAATTGGTTGTGTTTGTCTTTGTTGTCTTATTATTGGGTTGTGACATATTGTGTTAATCTGACAGTTGGTTGTGTTTTGGTGGTTAAGTCAGGTTGCGCTATACTGGCTTTGGTGCTGGGTTATGCTCTATTGCGTTCTGTGTATTTTGACACTGGGTTATGTTCTATTGTACTGTTGTTGTGTTTGGTTGTAATAGGTTAATGACCACTATTCAGCTATTCTGTTTTCAAACCCTTAAATATTCCCAAAAGTATAATTTGACACTGAATTGGTTATTGTAAACCTAGAAATAACCTTTTCTGGCCTAAAGGATATTCTTCATTTTGAAATTGATGTCATGAAATTAACAAATGACACCTTGGGGATGAAAGGGCTAATATGTATTTTTGCACTCACCAAAAATACTTTTGGAGTTGTGATTCTGAAAGCTGAAACTCCCAATGGTGTTTTGAAATCTTAGTGCAGATGAAGCCTTTTATTTGACCCTAGTTTTCACTACTATTAAATACGGATTGAGATGCGTTTATAATTACGTACTTCAAAAAACGAACTGCGAAACGAAAATTATCGAAATACGTATCCGTAAACGTAACGAGATACGGATGCGGATACGTTTTAGCTAATTCGTTTTGCGAAACCTCTCTATTAACAATTTCACGTACGTTTGTGTATCATAGAAAACCAGCTATATTAACTATTAATGGTATATTACACAATGATGTGTAGTCTAAGTAGCGGACTAGGTAAACACTGTAACCAAATGATTATTTTTGTGAGAAAACTACATGCATTAGTATAGGGCGATTTATACGTAGAGGTTGCCATTTCGATTTTATACGCATTGAAGTTTGCACTGTTTGCTCATCATAAACCCCTAAAACCATGAATAACATTTCACAGATCTGTAATAAACCAACACACTTTAGGAACAATCTGAATGATAAACTTGTCCTGACAGAAATCCTTAGAAATAAACACATATGCACGTAATTGAATAATTAAATCATCAATACTTTATAGAATTAAGAACACCTGTGTCTGATCCAGCTGAAAACAATAATAACAATTACTGGACAAGTGCTGAAAACATAATTGATGGCACTTGGCGTTGGGGGACAACACAAGCTGCAATGAATTACACAAAATTTTATGAAGAAAATCCATATGCAAGTGGTTACCTCACACTATGGGATAATACAAGAGAAACCCCACCTTCTTTTTTTGACTGGTGGATCATGCCCCAAGGTAGTGCAAATAGAAACATTAGATCAATATGTCAACACTTTATTGTAAAGTAATGTATAATTTCAAGAATATAAATGATACAATAGAAATAAATGCAACATTTAATTGTGTTAAATTTGATTAAGTTTATATTCATCCTCCTAAGCAGGTATCCAATATCCATACCTCCTTCTCCTCCCTGCTATAACCAATTTGGAAGCCCCCGATTAAAACCGAATCACGTGATCTAGTTATGTGCAATGACTCATACATGATTTCTGTCGCAGTGTTGCGACAGCCAATCAGATTGCGAGTTCTTAATCGGTGAAATGCTAACTGCTTATCGCAGGGGGTAAAGAGAAAGAATATATTCTGGATTTTGAAGCCCTGTGATCGGAGGATGGTTTATATTGTATATAGATATATACGGAAAATATCCTAAATGCAAAACAATTCCTTGTAAAACTAATCAAAATATTTAAGAAATCAGATGACCAGATACACAAAGGCTGCCTCAAAATCAACTGGAGGTTTAGATAGTTTTAAGTGGTAAATGAAGTCAAGAGTTGCTATGGTAAAAGATGCAGCATTGAAAATGTCATATGTATTTAGAAGACCCAGTATACAAGTAAGTACAAGTATTCCTGAAAATAAAAATAACCACATGTGAGTCTATGTTCTTCTTCTAAATGAAAAAGTAATAAATTTTGTGTTACTCTGTAGAATAGCACAGTGGTTTCCTGGAGTTGAACAAAACTTGCGAAATACAACTATAACAATGAAAATGCTTGCCCTGGCAGTACTAGTACTAGTACTAGTACTAGTACTGATGTATGTAACAGAATATCTTGCATCTGTAAAAAAAAGTGGACTGAAAAGTTAAATGAAAAGTGGTTATCCAGTATTTTCGATGACATCATTAATGTGACGATTTCAATACAACAATTTTTCAAAGTGCTATAAAATATGAGTAAATAATGCATTTAAGAGCTGTAATAGAATATCTTGCATCTGTAAAAAAAGTGGACTGAAAAGTTAAATGAAAAGTGGTTATCCAGTATTTTCGATGACATCATTAATGTGACGATTTCAATACAACAATTTTTCAAAAAGCTATAAAATATGAGTAAATCTTTTAGTGGGGTCAAATTTGATCATTTGAAAATGTACAGTTTCTCCTCGACAGGTTTTGTACTTCTCCATCATCTAAGTATTATATCAAATAAGTAAATTTCCGTATAATATCCAAAATGTTCTCCTGTATACGGCCTAAGATATTTCCAGTTAAAACTGATTACAACACCTTATATGGCCATATAATAGGCATGTAGAAACATCATAGTTTGCCTCCTTTGTCTAGTGTTATGTGGTATTTAGAGCAACAGTAAAATGAAAATTATCGCATATGACATCATGGGAAATTATATCATTGTTGAAAATCATACATACATAAAAAAAAGTGAACTGAAAAGTTAAATTGAATGTGGTTATCCAGTATTTTCGATGACATCATTAATGCGATGATTTCAATACAACACTTTTTCAAAGTGCTATAAAAATATGAGAAAAATCTTTTAGGGGGGACAAATTTGATCATTGAAAATGTACAGTTCCTCCTCAACAGGTTTTGTAGCTTCTCCATCATCTACATTATTTCAAATAAGTACATTTCCCGTTTAATATTCAAAATATTCTCCTGTTAAACGGCGTATAATATTTCCGGTTAAAACTGATTACAACACCTTATGGCCATATAATTGGCATATAGTTTGCCTCTTTTGTCCAGCGTATCTTTAGAACAACAGTAAAATGAAAATTATCGCAAATGATATCATGGGAATGTATGTCCTTGTTGAAAATCATACACTGGTATGATGTTAATGATTGAATTCATCTAATTAACTTAACTTAACTATTGATTTTGACATCCATTTCATGTGTTGATGCGATTTGGAAGTTGAGACAGAACTGGGGACCTGATACTCCTGAGTTCCAGATGGTACTTTCCCCATATGTATGTGTAACATAATAGTTAAGTAAAGGTTGACACTTAGATTTATGATCATGTATTGAACATATTGAACATTAGACACACAGTGATAAATATTGCACTTTCTATCGATATATTCAAAATGGTCACAATGTAATTTGCCCAGCATGCTTAAACCATCATCAGATATTGGCAGAGTCTGCTTTTGCATCTGTAAAAATTGAGGTAGAAAGGATACACGGTGTTCCTTGGGGATTGCACCCCCTCCCCCCGTCCCCTACAAGAACACCCACCATAACAAGGATGATAGCAATACAGCACTCTGAAAAATTCTGATAAGAATTCTGATTCTGTGAACAATAAACAGATTAATGAACTGTATGTGTATAGCACAACCACCAACCTCAAACAAATTAGATAATTTAAATATCAGGCAGGGAACTTGTTTTAACATGGCATCGATTTGGTACTTAACGGCAAAATGAAAATTGCGACATGTTTGTTATAAGTAAGCTGAGTAGAGGTGATGCAAGCTAGTTTTGTACTTAGGAAATGGTTTGGTGACGATTGAAAGGGAGCTTGATAATACTATGTGGCACAAATAGTCACGCAGAGTGGTAAAAACGTATTTGGCTTATCATAGCTTATTAGTTTTAGAGTAACTACCTGCATATATCTTTGACAATGCAAGTATATCGACATCAGAAAAATAACAAAAATTACTTTTTTCATCATCAACATCGATCACCATTTTGAATTCAGCACCCAGCTTATTCTCTTTGAACAGAAGCCCATGTTCTTGACGTACGTTTTAGTATTTATTATGAACCAAATTCAATAAATAATGTTTAGGTTATCAGAGATATAATTCAGAATTCATTCTCTAGAAGAGGACTCCTATGCCAATATAAAATCAGATCAGCTATTGACCAGTATTTGAGTTATCACTCGGCCATGTGAACAGACAGACAATTTCCACCTATCCCTTACTCAAACTTTATTCGGTGGTATAACAATTTGAATGTTGCACTTTTGTACACGTCAGGTATTGGACATCTTACTGTCAATGTGCTAAAGAAAATATAAAACTAGATATCGGCAACTCCATGGAGTAGCTAATCCCAACAAACAAAATATTCATGAATCGCTGCCATTTTTGTAAAAAAACACACTAGTAATGCTTCATAACTCAAATACCAGTGGACCGATTGGGTTCAAAATATATATGCTGATGCCAAAAGTCAGAGAAACTTGTGGAAGAAGGACGTTAATTTCGTTTGGGGGGGGGGGGGGTTAAAGGAAAATTTGATTCCTGTGAAAATCGTTTTTTTTCCCTTGGAATATGAATGAAATAATGAGCTTCTCACCGAGTGTGGAGACTATCCAGGGATTTTGAAGATGGCAGTCCCCGTCCTAAACTTGGAAGTAAAACTGACGCACATCATGTCTGCATTAATTTACCGAATAATTTTTGCAGAATTAAGGGGACATTTGCAAAATTCTTATTTCCACTTTTGGACACTGGTGAAAGTGTAGTTGAGGCCACCTGGCACTGGGCAACCACACAGCCTGCAGTGTCTTACGCAAATTTTCATCCCGATCATCCAGGCTCCCGAAGTGGTTATATCACAATGTATGATCACAGATGCTCTGCTACGACCTAACACAACAAAATGCTATAATATGCGTATTCCCATCTAAATGATTTGTCTTTCAAAGAAAACTAGGATTTGTGGACATGTTTTGCTATCGTGCCATCATACCCCAGTATGTCCTCTGTCAGTCAAAAAAGTTTGAACCAAAACTCCTCACAAAAATGAAAAGATCTCACTTGTTGAATACGCCATCTATAGAAAATGTCAAAAATTGTCACTCTGATTTTGACAGATGGAGGCAGCTCAAAAATCATCAAATCATGTGTTAGAGTTAGTCCATACATACACTTTTTCATTCATGTAACCAAAATCCAACCACTGCTGATGCCAATATAATTACAATAATTGGACTATATTCTTGTTTTTAAAATGCCATCTATTCGTCTTCCAACTCGCCGGAAGGATTAATAAGTTGTGTGTCCCCTTGTATACACCTTCTTATTATGAATGGGAAGTTGAGTTCAGTTCCGAAAATAAAAGATCTATATGTCAACAGTTTATCATGCATGCATAACTCGAAAATACATAGAAATAAACAATAAAGATGATACCGATGAAGAGCATGTAATATGTTCAGTTGATTGTTTGAGAAAATAAATGGCATGCATTCTTCTCCTTTTTGAAGTAAATCCGTCGAGTGGTTTTCCTGGAATCGCGATGACAAGATTTATCTAATAAAAACTTCCAAGATGGCTAGCAGAATACAAGATGGCCGTCGAAAAGTTAATCAGCTCTAGAACTTCTTACCATTTAACATGTGTGAAAATTGGAAGTAATGACATGAAAAGCTAGACGCCACCCGCCAGGCACTCGCCAAGCTGACGACAATATGTACATTTTTAAGTACGATAAAAAATCATGATGATTCCTTAATTATCGGGTTATTCCGAAAATATTCTATGGAATAGCAAAAGGGGGCAGGGCTAATTGAAAAGGTCTATTGACATCTGGCGCTCATCAAACCATGACTAAACATTATGTTATACTATATTTCCCTTTATTATAGTAATATTTCATAATACATGTACATAGTATTGTTGGTATTTTGTTGTAGCTTTGTAAGCTCACAATCATGGAATCAAGACCTTTAGTGTATACCATTCATTTTCACTAGAATCCTAACCCATGTACTGTAGGACCCAAGGTTTAAAGTTTATCTATCTACGAGAGCGAAATATTATTCATTGGTTGATGCATATTTATGAATTAACTATTTAAAAATCATTCAATGTATGTTACTATCATCCTCCAGCCACCGGAAGTCGTACCTCCTTCTTCCATGGACATGGGCTTTCAAGCCCACGCCATGGATAAGCGAATTGAACATGTTCTGGTTTAACTTTCAGCAGTTTACTCTTGTGGATTCGAACCAATAAATTGGCATTTTCCTGGAGTCTGCCAATAACCATTCAAATGCAGTAAAATGGTTCAGAAAGCAAATGTTACAGAATTGAAAAAGAAATTTCACGTCACGATGTAGTGAATATGAATGTTATACAATAGCTATTATATTTCACATAAAAATACTGAGGACCTGTATTTACAAATAAATGCAACAATAGTTTGTTTTGAAATACTAAAGGATTTTAGCCAAGGGCTCACTTAATTGTAGAATTGTAAATTTTTAGCACGAAAGTCTAGTATGAGACTCTGAATGAGGGTAGAAGCCCAAATTCAAAGGCAATCATACAAGACAGTTGTTTTAGCTTCTATAAGTCCACAGACTCATATTGTAATAAAAATTACAGTTGTGTTCATTATGCAAAAACTTTAGAATATGAATAAAGATATAATGATATCAATAATAAAAAAAGACTTCAACACTTTGAAAATTAAAGCACTGCATATTCATATATGCATAAAATTCACTCTCACAAAATCTAAATAAAAATAATTTGCATTCCCTTCGGTCCCTCGGGAGGTGTAAAACCAATATCAAATCCTCCTATTAAATAACTTCTATGTATTATTTCAAACATGAATCAATGTTAACTACATCAACAACTTTAAAATTTGATTTTAAATTCATAAAAATAACCTTTGTACACTGTATATACACAAATCTCAACTTCAATACATTTCATTTTAAGGTTAGGCACGGCATAATGAAAAACTTGGCTGTTTAAATTGGATATCTTAGAAGTCCAAAATTAAACACACTGGGCCCACCATCATTTATGATGTTACATTACCAAACAGTGCAAAAACATTTTATTTGATAAAAATGTAACTTACAAATCCAGCTAAAGTAGGTTAGTACTTCATAGGCTTGTTTTTCAAAATCGTGAAAATATTTTTTCAACTCTTACTTAAAAAACATGTGTTTCATAATTTTTCAAAAATCTTAATTCTTATCTTATGTTAATCATAGGCCGAGGGAAAAGTAATAGTAAGCTATATATCTCTTCTATATACAGCTTACCATTACTTTTCCCTTGGTCTATAATGTCAATATTAAATGCAAAAAATCAACACATTTACATGTAGACATTCATGTACAAGTATCTGAGTATTGTACATTTAATCTTAATTGTCTCAATCCTCACAACAGATGTTTTATGCAAATATTATTTCTACAACCTTAACTAAACCAACTTGCCTTATGCCTTCTATATGCCTATAGTTTTTCAACAAGATCACATTCAATATATCATAAATCATAACTGCAACAATCATTAATCATCATCACTCTCTTAACATGTCTTAACAACTTTTGCCATTTTATGACACTCACATAATAATATCTAATCCTATCATGAATTAATAAATTAATATCTATTAAATTCTACAGGACTAGAGGAGTTTCCTTATTCAGTATAATATGCAGTCCAAAAGTGCATTTTCAAACTATGGCAGAAAGAAGGGTCATGTGACTAGAAGTAGCCAATCATATCCTCTACATTAGGTCACATGACTCATTATTTCAACACCTTTGGGCTAATTTACCATAGTGTATTCAAAATAAAATCATTCAAGATTCAAAATAAATCATTACACTATAGCAAATATTCCTGATTCTGTACAGAGTGACGTCATCATTAGCCTCGTTCTGAAAATTTCCAGCAGATGGCATGAAATGCTTTACTCAGTTAACTCAGGTCTCATCAGGCTCTGGCGAGAAAGTGCCCCCTCCCCCAAAATTTTGTACAAAATATCAACGAGCACCAGAGTCTGCCTGTGACCATAGTCTTTTTTGATGTGGAGCTTTGAATTATGCATTAATTTGATGTTTAGTATGACATAATGTGCTGTTTAGATAGTATAAAACTCATATTTTCTTTATACATTTTAAATAAAATTCTTGAAAACATTGTGAAATGATTTCAGTTGTTTCCAATGTTACTTTAGCAACACCGTAATTGACAACTGAACGTCACGAATCGTAACTCACAATATTTTCAAGAACCAGTTCCCTGGTTACATTGTTTTTCATTATTAAAATATTTGTTTTATATTCAAAAATACAATAATGTGATCTTTAATTACTTATTCATAGCACCTTATTGCTAAGTTTTACCTTATAATCTAGGAAGCGCTTATGCCTTAGTCACATTTGATCTACAGCAACCGTTTGGTGGCCCTAGCTTCCAAAAACCTATAGGGAAATATGCAGCATAAAATATAGGGACAAGCAATGCGATGTATTTTCTATAATATATATCGATTTTGTAAACCTAGGGCAGCCATACGCCCACCATAGAGCAAATGTAACTGAGACTTCGATCTTACACTGGTTGACGCCTTCACGTATTGTGACTTTTCACGCCTGAGATCTCAAATTTTGGTTATTCAAAGGATGACTCGCTTTTATGAATTGGCAATTCCCTTATGCCTAGGATCTCCATCTCTTTGACCATAATGCTCAGTTTTTCAAAGGTGTAGAATATACATAATAAAAAGTATATCCAAATATGTTTGGCCATCATTTCGATTACAAATTATAGGTGCAGGTTTCCTTTTTCTTGGTCTCGCAGCAAGTGTTCTATCAAGAACATTATTTATTATACAACCTATGAGGCAACGATTTATGTACATAATGCTGCCTTTTGTTCCTATCAATAGATGTCACCTTATAGATATGTCACAATAGATGTCACCTTAGTAGGTGCCAATTTAGTTAATGTCACCTTGGTAGATAGTGTTTTGCGTAAGGCTCCTGGAAATAAATATAAATTTTAAGAGATATAATAAAATTCATAGTCATAAAATTGAATATTACTATTAACTAAATGAAAATTATCAACATATAATTTAATTTAGTGCTAGCAACTTCAAGTTTCAGTTTATTTAAAGATAATATTGGCATCAAACATCAAAATCGTTACAATGTATCTGAGAATTGAACAGCAACCAACATTAATACATAATAAAAGTGAGTTATAAACTGGAAGTTTATGCAAAGTAAGGGGATCAGATCAAACCACACCAAACAATTAAGTGTTTCCAAAGTAAAAATGATTTTTAATTTCCTAGTTATGTACCATCTAAAGGTTTATGTGAGAATGCCAACATCAAGATTAGTGGATTTCGTAATACAAAAATTAGGCTGTCGAATTCCCTACCCCAGGAAAAATTTAGTTTGTCAATTTCCTCAACCTTGGAGCAGTAACAACTGGTCAAATCTAATCAAAATTATAATTACTTTGGAAATGCATTTCAAATCTGTTACTCCCAGGACAAAGAACTACATCAAAATCCAACACCCTGGGGAGTCTCACGCAAACCTTTGAATGATGCAAAACTAGAGTTTGTTAAAGGCCATCTACCTTCCCAATACCAAACCAAATTATCAAAAACTCTTTTTAATTTGGTGTACCTTGACATTAAAATACAATCCCTTAATAGTTATACTTCTAAATCACAAAAATACTAACACCACACTATTTAAAACTGACTACAGCTTTCATAGAGGTGTGATCAGAAGGAAAGACAGGTGTTGGCAAGCGACGGAGCTGCGACAGAACTGCGGGTGAGGGCACTTGGGTGACTCCCACGAGGTTCAGTGCTGTAGGGCTTAAGAAGATGTAATCCAGCGTGCGGGCTTGACTCGTAATGGATGTAACTTCAGGTTCGCTGCCCTGCAAGAACAGGAAGTTAAAGAGGATTATTACGACAGAGAGTGAGGGGGTGGTAGAGCGACTTAACATTATGACTAATGCACATGGGGGTCAATAAACTAAGATTGAGTTTGGGGAGGGGAGGGGGTGGCGGGAAACTAATCTTACTGTACCTAAAAGAAAGCATATGTTGCTCTTATTGCAAGATGGTCCGAGGGAAAAACATTGCTGGGTAGTCTGCCATGATTGGTGAAAAAATCACTATCAACACATTTTAGTACTCCCACTAGATGGAGCTGTTCTGGGTGATAGAGGATGTAATCGAGACAATCTTTGGATTCATCGTAACATGTGAGCAAAGGTTCATCAGCCTAATTCAAACAAAATGTCGATATGAAAAAGATTGCAAGCAAAAAAGGAATGAAATAATGAAATAATCAAAGCGTGAACTTACAAGATGTAAGTTTGGACAGTAAATCTGTGTTTACAAGAATAAATCTTGGACCTGAAAAATCACTAATTTCTCGACGGCCCTTCATGAATTTCAACTTATTGCCTGTTTTGAGCACTTTTTCAAATGATCGAGATGACCTGCCCGCCATTTGTTGATCATAAATCGGAAAACTCCATTACATTCTTCGAGACCCTTCAGCCTGACCCTCATGCATATTAACAAGCCTCGTGTTGCCCAGAAGAAAAATGTGCAGAAATCAAACCCACATGCAGGTACATTTAGTGCATTAGTATGTTTTAAGTATGATGTTCTGGATTAACATTGGCACATTGGGCCTTAAGGGTTCAGAAGCTAGAGAAAGTACAAACTTTTCTACCTAGAAGCATTCTATTTTGAGGTTACATAGAGTCCACCCTTACCAATATACAATACAAGCCCATCAATATCAAAATGAATATTCAGCCTTCATGGCAAAATGGTCCGATGGGAAAAATTTAGAGGGTAATTTGCCATGTTGGACAATATACTCGGGGTTGACACATTCTAGTATCCCAACCAGATGGAGTTGTTTAGAAGAATACAGGATGAAATCGAGACAATATTTTGTTCCGTCGTAACATGTCACCTCAGGTTCGCTATCCTAAAAATTGCATCTTTTTTGTTTTTAGAATGAAATGTAAACATATCAAAATAACATTACGGCAATAGAAATTTACTTAAAATGATGATTTAAATAACAGAATCAAATATATTTGTAAATGTAATCTTACAGGGTTTTCTTTTGCAAAATTTATACTTAAATGATACGTCTACTTTATAACATATTTTTGATCAGAAATTTTAGTTTTAAAAAAATCTATTATTTTATTGAGACACAATATTCTTGTACTATTTATGTAAAGCCTAAGCCACATTTGCTCTTCGGAAGCCGTAACTTCACAAAACCAATATAGAAAATCAATATTCCGTCCTTATATTATATTTTATGTTGCATATTTCTCTCGATTTTGGGGAGATATGCGTATGGACACCATACATTTGCCGTAGATCAAATGTGACTGAGGCATAACTTGTTTATATTCTATTGTTTGTGCCATCTCGTCAAGAGAAAAATAAAAAATACTTTTCAGATCAACAAAAAATGATAATTTTTATTTTACCTGAGCTAAAGCATAGGCACTCTTCAGATTGGGGGAGGTATGCATAAATCCTTTCCACCACAGGTTGATCAATGCAGCTTGCTGGAAATAAAATACAGAACACTCACAAAAACATAAATGAGCATTTTCTTGTGTAAAACCTTTATAAAGATTATGAAGTGTAGATAATTTTATTTTTTGAGCAAAGATTAAGACAATTTATTTTTTCAATGAGTAAATGCATTTTCAATTTTCTAATTATCAGCCTAAACATATGATGCCCTACTATTATAAGGGTATCTTAATATGCCCATATAGCCCAGTTTCATTTATTGCCATGACAACAACTTGAAATCATGATCTATTACTATTAAATTGCAATTGCATAGATATGTGTCATAAATACAAAGTGTCTATACTGCACAAAGGAAATAAATAATGTTAAACAACACTTGAAATATGCCTGTTCTTCTTTCAAAAAGCAGGGCCTCCCAGGGTTGGCCTCCTAGCATATAGGCAGATTACACATCATGATTACATAATCTTTAAATATACTTCTTGATTCACCAGGGATTTCTGTGTTCTTTTATTCAAATAATTTGAATGCTTTTAGTATATGACATGCAAATAAATGAAATAATTTTTTTTATATATTTCTTTTTTATTCTTTTTCAATCCTTTTTTTATTCATGTATAAACTAACTAAAAATATATATTCCTTACTGATCCATCAGGCATTTCAACATGCCTCAGAGCTTGAAGGGCGTTCATTGTTGTATCATTGAGGTATCCGTCACAGGCTAGTTGGTATCCAGGGGTGTCAGGTTGGCTATTGAAGTCTCCACATATGATATGAGGGTTGTCGGCGCCTCCTGCAACCTCAACTACCTTCTTAATGCTTTGGGAAATCTAAATAATACAGAATACATTTTTGTAATTCCACAATTTGAAACAAGACATTAACATGCAAAATGTTACCACCTGCCATTTGTTAGAGACACATTTTCTCTGATCAGTGACAGAACCTTACCTGTATGCACTGAAGATTGCGTAGCTTGAACTGAGTGTATCCTACATGTACATTTCCCACTGTAACCACCTTGCCAGTTGTATTGCAGCGTAACTTGGTCACTACGAGAACATCTGGGTGGTTAAGGAACTTACGCACAGCAACTTGTTCATGCATTGGCAGACCACTAGTTTCAAGATCCTTTAAAATAAAGACACAGAGTGACATGAGACATAGAGTGACCAGACATAGAGTTTTGTGACAAACATATGTACGTGGATGTAAAGAGACAAGTGGTTGATTATTGTAGCAATTTGTATGAAGTAAAAGAAGGAAATAAAGACATAGAGTTTTGTGACAAACATATGTACGTGGATGTAAAGAGACAAGTGGTTGATTATTGTAGCAATTTGTATGAAGTAAAAGAAGGAAATAAAGACATAGAGTTTTGTGACAAACATATGTATGTGGATGTAAAGAGACAAGTGGTTGATTATTGTAGCAATTTGTATGAAGTAAAAGAAGGAAATAAAGACATAGAGTTTTGTGACAAACATATGTATGTGGATGTAAAGAGACAAGTGGTTGATTATTGTAGCAATTTGTATGAAGTAAAAGAAGGAAATAAAGACATAGAGTTTTGTGACAAACATATGTACGTGGATGTAAAGAGACAAGTGGTTGATTATTGTAGCAATTTGTATGAAGTAAAAGAAGGAAATAAAGACATAGAGTTTTGTGACAAACATATGTACGTGGATGTAAAGAGACAAGTGGTTGATTATTGTAGCAATTTGTATGAAGTAAAAGAAGGAAATAAAGACATAGAGTTTTGTGACAAACATATGTACGTGGATGTAAAGAGACAAGTGGTTGATTATTGTAGCAATTTGTAAGAAGTAAAAGAAGGAAATAAAGACATAGAGTTTTGTGACAAACATATGTATGTGGATGTAAAGAGACAAGTGGTTGATTATTGTAGCAATTTGTATGAAGTAAAAGAAGGAAATAAAGACATAGAGTTTTGTGACAAACATATGTACGTGGATGTAAAGAGACAAATGGTTGATTATTGTAGCAATTTGTATGAAGTAAAAGAAGAAAATAAAGACATAGAGTTTTGTGACAAACATATGTACGTGGATGTAAAGAGACAAGTGGTTGATTATTGTAGCAATTTGTATGAAGTAAAAGAAGGAAATAAAGACATAGAGTTTTGTGACAAACATATGTACGTGGATGTAAAGAGACAAGTGGTTGATTATTGTAGCAATTTGTATGAAGTAAAAGAAGGAAATAAAGACATAGAGTTTTGTGACAAACATATGTATGTGGATGTAAAGAGACAAGTGGTTGATTATTGTAGCAATTTGTATGAAGTAAAAGAAGGAAATAAAGACATAGCGTTTTGTGACAAACATATGTACGTGGATGTAAAGAGACAAGTGGTTGATTATTGTAGCAATTTGTATGAAGTAAAAGAAGGAAATAAAGACATAGAGTTTTGTGACAAACATATGTACGTGGATGTAAAGAGACAAGTGGTTGATTATTGTAGCAATTTTTATGAAGTAAAAGAAGGAAATAAAGACATAGAGTTTTGTGACAAACATATGTACGTGGATGTAAAGAGACAAGTGGTTGATTATTGTAGCAATTTGTATGAAGTAAAAGAAGGAAATAAAGACATAGAGTTTTGTGACAAACATATGTACGTGGATGTAAAGAGACAAGTGGTTGATTATTGTAGCAATTTGTTTGAAGTAAAAAAAAAAAGGAAAAAGGTACCTATGAATAAATTATAATATATGTAACATCAAAATCCTGCAATTAGGAGTTACGGAAATATTTAGAGGTATTAAATTATGCCTACAAGGGAATAAATATTTTTGAAAATATATAAGTTCAATTTCTTTATCTTCAAGATTATCCAAGTCTCTTTTTGGGCAGAAAGTATTATCAATTTGTAATTTTTGATAAAAGTCAAGTTCCTTAACCAACTTATTTCCAAAAAGCACTGTACATTGCACTGTTTAGTACTGTTTACCACACTGTACAGCGCTGTAAGATGATGTTACAGATTTGGGGTGTACACCTTACCTTATAAGCCAATTCTCTAATAACTGATGTAGTACATTCAATCAATGTAAACCTGCTATTTCTATAAAATGTTGCTTCACCCTCTGGATGTGTATCAGCTGTGCGGCACTTGAATACCCCCAAATACCCATGCCTGGAAATTAATATGTCAAGTCTATGTTTACAAGAAATAAGTATGTAATGTCTATGTCTGAATACCCCCAAATACCCATGCCTGGAAATTAATATGTCAAGTCTATGTTTACAAGAAATAAGTATGTAATGTCTATGTCTGAATACCCCCAAATACCCATGCCTGGAAATTAATATGTCAAGTCTATGTTTACAAGAAATAAGTTTGTAATGTCTATGTCTGAATACCCCCAAATACCCATGCCTGGAAATTAATATATCAAGTCTTTGTTTACAAGAAATAAGTTTGTAATGTCTATGTCTGAATACCCCCAAATATCCATGCCTGGAAATTAATATATCAAGTCCTTGTTTACAAGAAATAAGTTTGTAATGTCTATGTCTGAATACCCCCAAATATCCATGCCTGGAAATTAATATATCAAGTCCTTGTTTACAAGAAATAAGTTTGTAATGTCTATGTCTGAATACCCCCAAATATCCATGCCTGGAAATTAATATATCAAGTCTTTGTTTACAAGAAATAAGTTTGTAATGTCTATGTCTGAATACCCCCAAATACCCATGCCTGGAAATTAATATGTCAAGTCTTTGTTTATAAGAAATAAGTATGTTATGTCTATGCTAACAAGAAATTGGTATGTCTATGAATAAAAGAGAAAAACTTAAATGTTGTAAAATGAAAAGCTGTATCTTAAGATAAAGTTGCAAATCTGTTTGCACCATATTAAAAGAAAGTAAATCTGCTTGTCAGAGAGCTGGAGTGCTCAGCAGTATATCTCAATGTTTTACCGGTGTGACAGAGAGTAAAAAATTTTATTTTTTTAAAGTTAAAAACTTTTTTTATTACTTCTAGTCATTAATTAAATCATTCTTAAAAATGTATTATCAATTAATTTGTAATGATGAACTCCTTACCGTCTCAATTCTTCCTCGAGCTGTGAAAAGTAAGTCTTTCCAACTTCCTGTAGGCAGATAACATCAGCGTCTAAATATTGAAGTTCCACCATCATTCTCGCATGACGGTATTCCTGACAGAGGTACTCTTCAGGGAGATAGCTATGTCCCTCAGGGTTACTCCTTATATGGTAATCCGCAAGTATATTGTACGAGACCACAGTAAATCTTTGGCTAGTGTCTATGTCTGATGTTAAATGCGGGTTTGGGATAAATTTGCGACTCAGTAAAGGATCGTTTATATTATTTGTATGATTTACACCATTAACGTTAGTGTCACTATGCTGACTGGTCGGTTCTTGAGTTGTTTCCATGACAACTGGTTCAGGTTGAGTTTCAGCAGGCTCGATTTGGTTTTCAGATGGTTGCGCCACCTGTTGGGGTAATGCTTCAGTTATTTCAGCACTTTGGGCATCAGGCACATCTTTGAGATCGACAACTACGTATTCTTTTAGCTCATCAACTTCATCATCCTTTTTCTCAGTACTATCTGGAATGTCTTCCCCAATGACTTCCCCAACAGGTGCGGGGACCTCATGTTCAATAACAGGGACATCTGATGAGGCTTCGGATACATCCTCTATAACCGGAGGAACATTTACACTAACCACAGACACTATTTCTGGAGTCTCTTTCCCCGATGCATTATCTTCAACTACATCTTCCTCATCTTCAATACACTCAACTGCATCATCAACATTATCAATTTTCTTTTCACCGACTTCTTCGATGACATCATCAGTTTCTTTCTCAGTAACTGGATCGTCTATAACTTCCACAGGGGACACAGATACTTCTTTTATTTCATCTCCTGGCACTTCCTGTACCTCTACAACATCATTTGAATCATGCGTCTCCTTTTCAGGAGTTGGAGAGTCAATGACTTCCATAAGTGGTACCTCTGGTTCAGCTTCAATTGGAGACACTTCAGCGATCACTTCTGGCTCAACTTCAGGGGTGTCACTTTTTTCAATTATAACTGGTTCTGGAGTGTCACTTTGTTCAATTATAACTGGTTCTGGGGTGTCACTTTTTTCAACTACCTCTGGTTCTGGAGTGTCAATTTTTTCAACTACCTCTGGTTCTGGTGTGTCACTTTTTTCAACTACATCTGGTTCTGGGGTGTCACTTTCTTGAACAATCGCTGGTTCTGGAGTGTCAATTTTTTGAATGACATCTGATTTTGGAGTGTCACCTTTTCCTAAAACAGGGGTTACAATTTCTATAACAGGTGCTTCAACAGGAAGTTCTTCTGTTGGAGTGTCAAGTTCTGGAGCTGTTGTTTCCATGGGAACCTCTTCTTTACTCTGAAATATAATTCCAACATATTGACGTTAACTCATCTCTTATGTCTTTTTCATAAATATTTATTTAAAAAAATTAAAGTGATAATGTTTTATTGTTGCATTTTAGTTGATGTCAGTCTCGATTTTTATGATCATATCTTCAAAATTCAGTGATTTCATATTTCATATTTTTAGAAATAGTAACATAGAAAACTACATCTATAAACATTTTTCATCTTGAATTATTTTTAAAATGCCTTTTTAAAATTTTATTTTGAAAGTGTGATTTTTAGGTCAACAGGTCAATAATATTTTACACTTGCTTTTTCTTCTGCAGTATCTTCTTCTCTGATCCTTTTAGAACTTGCTTCTTCTTCCTTAGGGGCGTTCTCTTCTTCATCATCTCTCTTCCTCTTCAGGTTATCAGTTGCAACTTCTTCTACTGGTGCCTCATCATCTACAGTTGTTTTAAGTTCAGTTGGAGTATCTTCCTCTTTGTCTTCTTTAGGTGTAAGGATTTCTTTCTCTGTGCTTTCAACAGTATCGGCTTAAAAATATGATGAAATACATTTTAATCATTTTTAACTTTTAACTAATATTTTTTCTTGTCTTGTTTGCTTAGTATCAGCTAAGCAAATCAAATGAAGAAAACACATCTGCTGTTTTCTGGAATTTGAATGAAATATTGTTGCGCCCACTCCTGACCCAAAAACGCTCATTTTACTCACCAGGTGTCTCTGTAGGTTGAGCCTTGGCCCCACGACCTCTCTTTGACCTAGGACTGGGGGATGTAGCTTGAGGGGTGGCAGCCTTCTTACCCCTACCTCTTGCCCTAGGTGATGTCACCTCTGGAACACATGCAAAATAATAAAATAAAGATTGGGTGTCATTTAAAATTTTTTCCTAAAAAAGTTCACATGAAACTTATTTCATAAAATTAAAAAAAACATTTTGATAGCACTAGGTAAGAGGACAATTCTTAAAGTACATGGGGCCTTAAGTTTAACAATACATCATCCAATAGTACTAATACATTGGGAGATTTCCCTTAAGGTATGGCACCTTTCTTATAAATTCCACCTTTTAACTCTAGTATTCAATTTTCAAGAGTTGATTGACCTGTACCTAATTTACTTTATATTAAGTTGAATGATTACACTTATTTTTTTCATAATATGATATATATTAAGACGATAAAGCATGCATTGGAAGATCGACATTTAGTACACGTTGTCTGTAATGTCACCTTATTTTTTCTGTTTCTGTTTTATTCACCCTTAATGTTATTGTTACCACTAAAATAGATTAATTGAGTAAGTTTTATATCCTTTTATACTTTAATTGATAACCTAAAAGGACTTAAAACTGTTTGACTCAATATTACATTATAGCCCACTAACCTTTAGCAGGTTCAGACTTTTCTGGTTCTTGAACATCTGATTTCCGTCCTCTACTTCTACGTCCTTTGGCTGGTGATGCAACTACCACTGGCTCTTCCTGTTCCATTGGCTCCTCCTTTGCTTCATCCTCAACAGGTTTTGCAGCTTCGGTATCATCTGAAAATTACATTTTATCAATTTAGTAGGTGAGATCACGATAGTTGAAGAACTTGTTAGCCATTGTGGCTAATTCTTCCAAAATTTTTTTAGCCAACCAAAATATGAATTAGCCATTTTGACCGAAAAAAATTAAACACTTCTAACGACTGTTTTCCTTTTAAAAATGGAATAAAACACTCACAGAATTTGCATTTAAGATTGTTAGACATTTTTTATGGCATTTTTGAAGGACACAACTACCCCGGAGTGAATATACAGATACATGATGACGCGCCACAATACTGATAGAGTTCTACTGTGAAATAGCATAGTGTGTAAAATTAATATATGTCGCATCATGAGTGACCAGAAATCTACTTTTCCGAAAAAGTTTTCTTCTGAAAAGTTGTTCAAATTACTGTACATATTTTTCACCACCTCTTTCGAAAATTCGTGATTGGTGAATGGTGAACGTCTACCGTGATCTCTGGCCAAGTGACTTTTTGAACAACCAACAATACCTGTCTCAGATATGCAATTTGTAATTTTTGTAATTTATTGTAATTAATGATATCATGAGATTTTGTGTGTTCTTGCTAAAGGATTTTCTATTCGTTTTAACTCTAACACTTAAACAACTCATGCTCAACCATTAATTCGGATATTTACTTTATCTTGTAAGTTTCAAATAAGGTTAACATAACTTGTTTGCAAGTCAAACAGTCATTTTTAAAAGTGCATGTACATGTATATTCTTTTGAGCAAATGAAGATATTCCATGAAGTACCAAACATCTAACTCTATTGCTTTTTCAATACTCCAATTTCCCCTAAATACAGTTGTATAAGTATATGGTTTGATTTTACAAGAAATAACTTCTGCCTTTGAAGTTGAAACAAAATGTTGGTAATATTCCGATACTCCAGTTCCAGATGGTGTTTTCCCTATAGGTGTAACTTTTTCAAAAGTGAAATAAAAGTACACTTAGATTTATGATACTGTTTTGAAAAATAGCAATTCTGATAAAGATTAATGTCAAAATGAACTTTTGTCTGGAGTATAAAATCTCCGAGGAGAAACAAGTTGCGTCATTCAAATATCAGGTGGAGAATTTGTTTTAACATGGCATCGATTTGGTACTTATCAGGTTTGGCTCTTATTGTAGCATTCATGGGATCCTGTGTTGATGCAGATTCAAACATTATGGAGGTGGAATGGAAAGGCCAGAATATTCAGATTTTTAACAGATCTACGGCATTCTTTGGTAAATCAACTTGTCTAATAGCTTTGGAGGATGTCCTAAACTTAACACTCGATGCTACACACCTCGTGCAAAGTTTGAAACAACACCTTAGAGCAATGATCAGTCCAAAATGCACCGAGTCCAGGGCTTAAATCCTTAAATAATTGTGAAAATCAAAGTTCTTTGAGTAGCTGTTATGCACAGAATTAAATATGTAATGAAGTAAATGAAGTCCTGATTCATGTAAAATTTCAGTTGAATCCCAGGACTGTCTCCCAGGTTTCTACAAGGGTCTATGGCAGAATGAGAGTTGCTACATGTTTGTAATGACTCCTATGACAAGAACTGAAGCCAGTACATTTATATATAATTTCAGTTGAATCCCAGGACTGTCTACCAGGTTTTTACAAGGGTCTATGGCAGAATGAGAGTTGCTACATGTTTGTAATGAGTCCCATGACTACAACTGAAGCCAGTACATTTATATATAATTTCAGATGAATCCCAGGACTGTCTACCAGGTTTTTACAAGGGTCTATGGCAGAATGAGAGTTGCTACATGTTTGTAATGAGTCCCATGACTACAACTGAAGCCAGTACATTTATATATAATTTCAGTTGAATCCCAGGACTGTCTACCAGGTTTTTACAAGGGGCTATGGCAGAATGAGAGTTGCTACATGTTTGTAATGAGTCCCATGACTACAACTGAAGCCAGTACATTTATATATAATTTCAGTTGAATCCCAGGACTGTCTACCAGGTTTTTACAAGGGTCTATGGCAGAATGAGAGTTGCTAGATGTTTGTAATGAGTCCCATGACTACAACTGAAGCCAGTACATTTATATATAATTTCAGTTGAATCCCAGGACTGTCTTCCGGGTTTTTGCAAGGGTCTATGGCAGAATGAGAGTTGCTACATGTTTGTAATGAGTCCCATGACAAGAACTGAAGCCAGTACATTTATATATAATTTCAGTTGAATCCCAGGACTGTCTACCGGGTTTTTACAAGGGTCTATGGCAGAATGAGAGTTGCTACATGTTTGTAATGACTCCTATGACAAGAACTGAAGCCAGTACATTTATATATAATTTCAGTTGAATCCCAGGACTGTCTACCGGGTTTTTACAAGGGTCTATGGCAGAATGAGAGTTGCTACATGTTTGTAATGAGTCCCATGACAAGAACTGAAGCCAGTACATTTATATATAATTTCAGTTGAATCCCAGGACTGTCTACCAGGTTTTTACAAGGGTGTATGGCAGAATGAGAGTTGCTACATGTTTGTAATGAGTCCCATGACTACAACTGAAGCCAGTACATTTATATATAATTTCAGTTGAATCCCAGGACTGTCTACCAGGTTTTTACAAGGGTCTATGGCAGAATGAGAGTTGTTACATGTTTGTAAAGAGTCCCATGACTACAACTGAAGCCAGTACATTTATATATAATTTCAGTTGAATCCCAGGAATGTCTACCAGGTTTTTACAAGGGTCTATGGCAGAATGAGAGTTGCTACATGTTTGTAATGACTCCTATGACAAGAACTGAAGCCAGTACATTTATATATAATTTCAGTTGAATCCCAGGACTGTCTACCAGGTTTTTACAAGGGTCTATGGCAGAATGAGAGTTGCTACATGTTTGTAATGAGTCCCATGACTACAACTGAAGCCAGTACATTTATATATAATTTCAGTTGAATCCCAGGACTGTCTACCGGGTTTTTACAAGGGTCTATGGCAGAATGAGAGTTGCTACATGTTTGTAATGAGTCCCATGACTACAACTGAAGCCAGTACATTTATATGTAATTTCAGTTGAATCCCAGGACTGTCTACCGGGTTTTTACAAGGGTCTATGGCAGAATGAGAGTTGCTACATGTTTGTAATGAGTCCCATGACAAGAACTGAAGCCAGTACATTTATATATAATTTCAGTTGAATCCCAGGACTGTCTTCCGGGTTTTTGCAAGGGTCTATGGCAGAATGAGAGTTGCTACATGTTTGTAATGAGTCCCATGACAAGAACTGAAGCCAGTACATTTATATATAATTTCAGTTGAATCCCAGGACTGTCTACCAGGTTTTTACAAGGGTCTATGGCAGAATGAGAGTTGCTACATGTTTGTAATGAGTCCCATGACAAGAACTGAAGCCAGTACATTTATATATAATTTCAGTTGAATCCCAGGACTGTCTACCGGGTTTTTACAAGGGTCTATGGCAGAATGAGAGTTGCTACATGTTTGTAATGAGTCCCATGACTAGGACTGAAGCCAGTACATTTTGCACTGAGGTAGCACTGGGGAATGGTTTGGTAGCCGTAGAAACTGAGCTTGATCATATGAGTATTGTGGCGCAACTTACCACACAAAGGGGTATGTGGTTAAAGTTATCCACATAGGACAAGAGGGGGGTGCCAAACACTGACAGCATGACTGTGCTGATTGTGTGATGCTTATGGTTGCACCCCACACAGACAGATCGGATAAAATTACATTTGTATGATGCGAGACTCGACATTCACCGGGAAATTAGAAAAATTTTGCCACCCATGAAGCAAATTAATTTTTACTGCTTTATAAGTGGTGAATGACAGTCACATTGAGTTCTATAAGTATGAGAATAGCATAACGGCTTGATATTTCAAGGCAACTCGTTTGAATAGTGATGGCGGTGATTGAAATTACGATGTAAAGATAAAACTGCAACGAAATATTTGTAGATTTCTTTGAAATATGAAAAATCATGTATACATGGTAAGGCCTGCAGGTTCGATTCCACCTGGTAGCATTAACATTGGTCTCGTGTATGTTACACAATTAATATGTGAAACACAACTATTATTCGAACTTATGATCAGACATAAGTATGATGTGTACTTCAAGGTAATAAAGTAATACTAGTATCATACCAATGTACGATCATAAGTTCGAATAACTTAATTCGGCTGTCATTCACCATTTATTAAGCAGTAAAAAATTAATTAGCTCCATGGGTGACAAATTATTTCAAGTTTCCTGGTGAATATCGATCGAATTTTAGTCGATCTGTCTGCATGGGGTGTGGTTGTTAAATTCAGACCCTCCCAAGTTTTACAACTCTTTATATATGCATTGATTTTTTTTAGCTATAAAATGAAAATAATGTTTCTAGACCATATTAAAATTAGTCAGTCTGGTCCGAAATAAAAATCTGGCGCTTCGGAAATACTCTGCCAAGGATGGTTAATATGAGTACCTGTATATTATATGCAGCAAATAGAATTTTGATTTGTTTTGTAGAATTACGAACACCATACGGAGATAATTACAATTATTGGACTTGTGCGGAAAACATAATAGATGGCACTTGGCATTGGGGCACCACACAAACGGCAATGACCTATACAAAGTTTTGGGAAGGAACTAATCAAAATACAATTGGTTACATGGCACTCTGGGATGGTAGATCAAGCGCCCCTTCACCTTATTTTGATTGGTTTATCTGGTCCAGTACTACAACTACTGTCGAACGCTCCATATGTCAACATTTCATTTTAAATAAATAATTTATTATTAGTTCATGAATCATTAACTCAGATCTTTGTATGTTTGACAATGACTACATTTTACAACTTCACTGCAGAACTCTCAGAGAAAATACAGCGAATATAGCAACCAAGGAGTAATAAAAATATTAAGTCCTCATAATATGATCTGTATAGGGCTCTACCATAAGTGGCATTTCCCTAAAGTGATACTACTTAAAAATTATTCTTCAATATAATATGCTCTTAGAACAAGGCATTAACATGCAAAATGTCACCACCTGCCATTTGTTACAGATGCTGACTGCCGAACACCAATGAATGCCAAACAACTTCTACGAAAAAGTTGGAGACTTGTGGTGACATAATGAATTGAAAATCTTTTTGAAAAGTACATACCCAGAGGTTCTGATTCAGTGGGCACCTCTTCCTCCACTTTTCCTCTTCTCCCCCTCCTGGGAGTCGTCTTGGGGGTGACCTTCTCAGCAGCCTTAGGGGTGTTTTTTTTTGCCTTAGGGGTGCTTTTTGTCGCCTTGGGGGTACTCTTGGTTGCTTTGGGGGTACTCTTGGTTGCCTTTGGGGTGCTCTTAGTTGCCTTTGGGGTAGTAGGGGTACGTCCACGTCTCCCTTTGGGGGTAGTAGCTGCTGTGGTCTCCTCAACTGTAATTAAAGCGAATTGTGTTCATCCACCACTTTCAAACACACATTAATTTTCTACGAGGCATAAATATCAAGTGAACGCAATTGGTCAACCAGTCATGGCAGAATGCAGGAGAACAATTCTATTGACTCTGCTCTGAGTGTACAGGATTTTGTGGATTAGAAAGACAGATGAAAGTAGAAAATTGCAATATATGTTTGTACATGGAAATAGTAGCAAAGTTTCTGAAGAAAATTCAAAAGACTAAGTGTTTAGCTCTATGATCCTTGCGTGTTCCTTACCCGCAGGAGTTTCGACTTTGGGGGTAGATGGTGTACTGAGACGACCCACTCTCCTAGTCCTGGGACTTTCCATTACCTCTGCATCTTGAAAGCTCCCCTCAGATGTAAGTTTAGCAACTTTCGGAGTAGTTTTTGGGGTAGTTTTTGGTGTTCCCTTTTTAGTCTTAGGTGTTAGTTTTGGAGTGGTAGTTTTAGATTTTGAGGGAGAACTTTTGGAAGGGGTGCTTGGTAGATCTCCTGTAAGGAGGAAATAAAGTAATAAGATCTCCAGCAAAGAAGTAAGAGGGACTAGGTGCAAGACTAATTTCAAAGAAAAAGATATGAAACTAACAGTGCAGCAGTTTTCAAGAAGAAATCCTTGTTAGTGGTAAAGTTCATTTATAAAGTTACAAATGAAGAAAAGGCCTAGGAGAATCATATCACGATTTTACTCTTTTTCTGCAAAAAAATAAATATTCATACCTGCTCCAACATCTTGTTCCTGGCCTCTCTTTGAGCTGCGTCCTAGTGGCTTGGAAGTTTCTACTTCATCACCTGCAGATTTTGCTGCCGATCTTCCTCTTGTTGGGCGGGTACTCACTGGAGATTCAGCTTTCTTAGCACGCCCCCTATAGTCAGCAATATTTAAGCTTTAATCTATGAAAATTCTCAGACAATGTTATTAATATATCAAAACTTATGAAGGTTAATATTTTGGTGTAATTTGTATTCAATATGATCCGAAATACAATCAGTAAGTAAGATTAACTCTTTTGAGAATTATAATGTAGTTTACTAACTTCAAAATGTTTGCTCTAAATATAGACAAGTGAACATTTCTCAAAGTGGTTAACCTAGAGATTTTTATTACACTCTGGAAATATGTATTAGCATCATTGATTACCATGGTAACCTACCTTTTGATTTAGCATCACAAAAAGAAGATGCAACAAGTATCAGAATGATGAACTACGCGTATATACGAGGGAAGATCCAAAAGTTTCTGGCCTAACATAGTTCCAGTTGATGGATTTTCAAAATGATAGTGTCATTTTTCAATGTAGTCTCCCTGTACTTTGATGCACTTGGCCCATCTTCTTGGCAGCTTCTCAAGTCCAGTTCTGAAGAAATCAGGAGCATGACCCTCCAACCACTGGTTAACAGCTATCTTGACCTCATCATCATCATCAAAGCGTTGCCCTCGTAGAGATTTTTTGAGTTTCCCAAATAGGTAATAGTCACTGGGTGCTTGATCTGGAGAATAGGGTGCGTGCGGTAATAATTCCAGATGGCATTCTTCCGCTGCATCACGAGCAACTTGGCTTGTGTGAACAGGTGCATTGTCCCGTTGGTGCAAAACTCCAAGACGGACTTAGTGTGGCCTGGTTTCATCAAGTTTAGCTTTCAAAGTGCGCAACAAAGCAGCATAATATTATCGATTCATTGTAGTACCTCTTGGAAGGTAGTCTACTAAGATAGGACCTTCACAGTCCCAGAAAATTGTGGCCATCATCTTTTTGTTGGATGGGGTGGTGCGAAACTTCTTTGGGGGTGGGGACCCCATATGTTTCCATTGCATTGACTCATGTTTGGTTGAAGGCTCAAAATGACGCACCCATGTTTCATCACAAGTGACTATTCTCTCCATAAAACCTTGTGGATCAGTGTTATACATGTCCAAAAGCTCTCTTGCAACAGCAACTCGTTTTGTTTTCATGTCCTCTGTGAGCATATGGGGCACCCATCTTGAGCTTAACTTTTACATGTGTAAATCTTCATGAATTATTCTACAAACGGTACCATATGATAATCCAGTTTCTTCTACAAGTTCACGTATAGATTTCTGCCTCTCTTCCAATATTGTTCGATGTACAAGATCAACATTTCTATCTGAAGTGACATCTTTAGGTCTTCCAGAACGTGGTGCATCATCAATTGATTCCCATCCACGTTTAAATTCAGCCATCCAAAATTTTACAGTAGAATAGGAGGGAGCACCTTCCCCATACACATCCTTAAGTCTATCGTCGATTTCCTGCCCTCCATTTTCTTCTTGATATAGAAACTTTATCACAGCTCTATATTCAGTTTTCCCCATTGTGATCACTGATGTGCAGCCACTGTGACCTGACCTCATTATGAATATTCTCAAAATGAGGCTGTGACCCCTAGAGGTTAATCATATGCATAAATTATGTTCATACATAAGCAACATTTGAACTGTGAAGAATGGTTGCTCTCAGACATCGGGAACTATGTTAGGCAGGAAACTTTTGGATCTTCCCTCGTACTCTAAAATCACGGCTTACATTGTTTCAAAATTGCAATATCTTAACATAAAATGAAACAGGGAACAATAAATGGATTTCTTTACCTAGCTGGAGCAGGACTCTTGCTCTCCTTTCTTCCTTTAGCAGCTTTGGTTGGTGTTTCTGGAGCTTTGTTTGTGCTACGTCCTCTGCCCGATCTGGTTGTCTGGGGTTTCTCAACCTCTTTGACTTCAGCTTTTTGTCGTGTTGCACGTCCTGTGGCTTTAATATTAAAGACAGTGGTTAATAGTTATGTAGAGGTTTTCAATTTTTTACAGATTAGGGCAGAGGAAAAGTTGTCAAAGTTGTTATACATGGGTTATATTTCGAGTATTTCATTTAAACAATTTCGGTGGAAAACATATTGATAATTTGTCACATTTATTAATATCGACTATTTTTTGCAAAACCAATAACTGTTTTTTAGGAAACTATTTTATCCTTAATGTGTTCGATTTAAAAATGTAGTATTTGCAGGGATAATATATGGTTAGCTTCAGATTTGCTGTGTCATAAAAAAAATTAAAAACAGAATATGAATTTAAATGAACATTCCTCACATAATGGGTTGGACCAAAAAAAATTCCTGAGAAAGTAATTCAAAGAAAGATATTTTTTAGACTCCTCATTAATCTCAGCTGATAGACTTAAAAGAATAATCAACTACTTCTCTCTTTTGTTTTAATTTTAAAATATGTTAAGATTATGGTCTTACATCCTGAGGCTGCTCTGCGTTTGGGTGGCATCTTGATATTGGTGTCTTGTGTGTCCGTGTCTCAGAAATGTGTGTCAAAGTAAGAACTTGTATCCTGCTCCTAAAATAAGAAAATTTTTATGAAAAACTATAAGTTTGATACCACCTTATATGATACAAGTTGATGTATTTGAGCGAAAATGGTAATTTCCAATCCTTTTAAGAAATAAATAATTGCAAGATAAGTTTTGCGCACTAGACCGTTATAAATCAGTGAATTAAGAATTGGCAAAAATCCAAATATCCTATTCACTTTTTTGATTAAATAAACATTTCTATTACATGTATCTTATATGATATTTGAATTTGGACAAAGAGTAAACAAAAATAACAAAATAAAGTAAACAAAAAGGTAAGTTCCAGGGTATGTGTGGTAAGTAAAGAGTGGTAGCTTGGTAAGTCCAAATTTTAAAAAAGTTTTAAAACCAAACAATAGGTGCATTTCAATTTCAAGAGATAACAAGAAATCAATACATTATTTTGACCTTGAGCTTTGAAAATTTGAATACAGTTTTGTTTAAAAAACAACAAAAAACAACAATGAGCTTTCAAGAGAAAACTTATAAACAGCAAATGGTTTTTGTGAAGTAAGTATAACATGGCCAATAATTTAGAAAAAAAATTTAAAAAATGCCCTAGAAAATTGTGCTTAGGTAGTTAAATAACTTAAATCATTCCTAGTTCAATTCTCTTTGAAACTGAAGCCAAAAATTATACATAACTGCAGGATCACAATAATACATTAAGACAAGTGTACATTCAAACACCGTTATTGAACTCCAACTATTCTTACAATGCTTATGGTAATGTAGAAGAACATTTCAAAATGAGAAAACATCATTAATTTGACTAAGTCAAGAAGTACATGGAAATTGTATGAACCAAAATGTTTGTTCTGTGCATGACATTTTTCACAAAAAAAGTTAGCTTTTAAAGTGTCTTTCTAAGACTTAGAAGGAGAAATGTGAGATTTCGAGCCATATGTCTCAAGAAAATGCTTTTACCTTTCTAGTAGGATGAGTTCAGGTGCCAAAAACAGCTGATCAAAGGATATATATCATTTTCTAATTGAAAATTTTTGTTGAGCCCTGCATTTTTTACACTGTTTTGACAGGAAGTCATACCCAAAATGAAAACTGCATAAAACAACAGTTATCCTAAATGTAGATCAAAATACTTACTCAGACATGCAAAATGTTATTATTAGTAGTAATGCTGATCATTTTTAAGAAATTTAAGCATGTAAATAAGACTTTTTGCATCCATGATTATATAGATAAAGAATTTCTTCCTCCAGGAAGCTTTGGCAGTTTGGTGTAGTGGTTAGAGCTCAAACAGACTTTTATTCCAAAAGATGTGGGTTCAAATCCCTCGGGTGGAATATGTTTTTATTCTTTATTTTTGTTTTTTTCATTTTGATCCACAATATTTCTAAAATAAATTTTCATGTATGGCACTTAACCATATTTAGTATTTCCAAGGGTCTTAATTTTTAGATGAAATCATAGAAAGTTACTTTAATGTTTTCTAATAATCGTCATGTGATTTCTAGAATAAGAAACGTTTTCATAAAAAGACTCATACTATCAGAGATTTTATTGACTCGAGCAGCCAGAAAAATTAGTTTCAATTTCACCCGCTGAGTGTCTCGATGTTGACTTGGAAAGAATTTGAAAAATCTATAAATGGGACTCCTTGTATAGAATTATAGATTCCAAACGATTTATCAGTTCCACTGGTTGATGAATATTGCTGTATGCATCATTTTAATAAAATAGGAATAAGGAAGAAGATGTAAGACCAAACTTCGCCCCGATAGCTCAGAAAAGGTAAAATTTATCAATTTTTCTCTCCACAATCCTTGTAGCCGCTTTAAATTCATGATTTCCATTAATTTTGCCTGTTGTTTTCATTTATTTAACCTTTTGTGAGAAATTCTAATGTACTTTGACACCTTGTTGTTTATTTGCTTGGCCTATTTTCCTATCTAAGGTGAAAAGCCTTGTGTTTTTTTACTCGCATTGATCGAGATCTCACGAGATTTAATTTTTTTCGAAATACAACATGGGAGAAAACGAAAATTCTAATTTCTAACAAGTAAGTGTTAAAGAGTACCCATCTCTCATGTTGAAACTATCCCACATTTGAAGTTAGACCCATTTGCCCTTGGGCCCAGTCCAGGAACCCTACCCCCATAAATGTGGGGTTATTTTGAGTTTTTTTTATATTTAGGACATTTGTTTCTCAAAATAACCCCACACCGATTAGTACTTTGATTCTTTGGGGATTTGCTAAACAAAAGCATACACATAGAATTTGTACTAATATTATTAGAATTTACTCACCTTTTTATGTTTTTCGTATCGACAAGACATTAATCTTCAACATGCTTCCAAATATAGCCCTCTAAGTGTTGTATTCATTCTTGTAATGACAATTTAATACGGATAGCAGATATTTCTAAAAAAGTTTTTCAAATTTCATGCGCAGTCGATATTTTTTTATCTAAATGACAAACTCCGTGTAAATACGAAATCCAAAAGTAAAAATGGAGGGAAATTTTGAAAAATGATTTTCACCTTCCGGGGTGGAGATTTTCAACCTCAAGTTTGGCTGCTGTACCGTCTACGGCCTTTGTTTTCCTGAACTTAGGCATAAGCAATAATTTTGTTATTAATTTGACAGGTGATTTCGTTTGGCACTGTTAGTTTCCCATCTACCACATAATTCCTCCCAGAATGCATCGAGCGAAAATGGCCAAAATTTAAATAGATTTCGAGAGTCAAATATTACAGCAAATTGTTCCAGTTGTAAAGTATTGTTTCCACTGATCGATCGCTCATTACATTGGAAAAAGAATCTTCTTCACAGAAGAAAAGAAAAAAGGTAAGGAAACTGCCGATATTGTCAGAACTTGAATCTTCAAATCATGTGAAGAAAAACTCAAAGAATCAAAGCCTAAACTTTGTGGGGTTATTTTGAGAAACAAATGTCCTAAATATCAAAAAACCTCAAAATAACCCCACACCTATGGGGGTAAGGAACCCAGACAGGAGATGATTATTGCTAACATGTGTCTTCTTTGCAGATGACATAACAATACAAAATGACTGGTCATAGGTGGAAAATGAATTTGAAAATTACAAACACGATAGTGCTGTATGCTTACCTATACTGCAAATTGACAATCGTTGCGTGCAAAATTCCCAGATTTCCCACCAAAAAATTCTATTTTTATTTTCATTGATGCATCACAGAAAAGACGCAATATCTTTAAAAATGAATAGCCTATATTACAAAATATGAATGGTGTGTGCGTCCGCAATATTGCTTCTGTTGCATTTATACCTATGTAAGAAGATAAAAGCAAAATAGTAGAAAAGTTGTACAAACTCAGCGAAACAGGAAGAACGCCATTCCTCGGAATAAATAAATCGAGCGTTTTGATTGGACGAAGGGAAATAACAAAATATGTTTAATCACCGATAAAATGAGTTTACTTGAATCCAAAACTAAATGAAATGCAAATGAAACTAAACAAATGAAATGCAATTTTTTTATCAAGGCATGGACTAAAACCATTTAATGGCCTTCAATCAACCACCTGTTGATGGCGCCATCTTTATGAACTTTGGACAATGATTTTTCTCAAGTTTACAAGTAGATCTAACTGTAAACGTTTTTTGCTTGGTCATTCTGTTCCCCACATACTATTTGTAGGTGTCTTCATCAGACAAGTAAGCCATTTTTTATCATTAGAGTATACAGGTTCATAAACTGCTGCATGACATTGACTAAGAGTCTTACATCTATAAAAATCATTTTCCAAGGAAAAGAGAAAATGCAAATAAAGTTCACTTTCATTTTCACTTTTCATTCCAATGCACTTCTTCATAAAATTTGTTTTCGATATGAATGTTATTTTTTCAACTACTGATGCGCACATAGCACGGGCTTTCAAGAGAATGTATAACATGTGTAATAGAGCGAAATCATATTCTTGAAGTGTGCAACTGCAACCAGTCTCCGCGTGGACTCTTATTGGTTACAATTTGTTTCTTCTATGCGGCTTATTATTTATAGCAACAATAGGAGTTGGTTGCATTGACCTCAGGACTCTGGTTGCAGTTTGCCTTATGTTCTTTCATCACATACAACCAAATATATCTCGATCTTCATCTGAAGAGATGGTCTTGGTACGAGATGTACATGTAACTGTTCTTGTCTTCATCCGGGCATGGATCCTGGAGGATGAACCCTGTGGCATACATGGGCGTAGGGCTATATTTTGAGTTGGTACGCCCTCTTGGGGATCTCTGATTGCAGGCCCGTAGCCAGGATTTGCCAAGGGGGGTTCACTTTTTGAAAAATTCCTGGGGGTTCACTTGTGACAAATTTGGGTTTGTGTAAAAAAACCGGGTGACCTGGTAACCTGGTTGCCGGGTGACCAGGTACCTAACATTCCTACCAGGGTTATGAATTTGATTTTTTGATTTTATCATTTTTATACCTCAAAACGCCCAATTCACCTCCAACTCAACGTACCAGTCATAAAACCAATCACCCAACCAGTCACCCGGCCACCCAGTTACCCGGTCACACGGTGTTTTACACAAACCCGCCAAGTTTGGTCCAAAAATGGCCAAAATCACTTAAAAAGTGCTCAGAACGGTGAAAAACTGCATGATTTTGAAAGATTTTTTGGCCATGGGGGGGGGGTTATAGCCAGGCCTATAGCCTCCTGGCTATAGGCCTGCCATATATATGTAATATGAATATACTGTTCAATACCTGGGCCCCTCGACCCCTCCCCCATTGGCCATTACCACATCCCCCCTGATAATACATCGATCCATATCCCTAGGTGTGGTGCCTATAGCTATATATACTGTGCCTCTTACATTCATCAAAAGTATTATCATATTTTGTTTCAGTTCATGCCCTGTTTCGCTAGCACCATGAAGGCAGCACAATTCACCCCAGGGCCCCCAGAGAATATCAACATAGGGGAGGTGCCTATCCCTACACTCAGAAGTAGTGAGGTTCTCTTAAAGGTGTATACCACAGCAATCAACAGAGCTGATACTCTACAGGTATAGTTTGTTATTCTCACTCTCAGCCAGGGGTGGGTTACAAGAAGTGTTTGTAAGATAAAGAATTCATAAGTCTTATGGATGTTCTGAGTTGTTCTCTTATTGTATGACAGCCTTTCCAGTTAAGTTTGAATCCTGGGAATAAATTAAGAACAGACTGTTAATCTTGGAAGCCTAGTCCTTTAAAATATTTTGGTTGGAAACATTTTTGCCAGAATACATAAATATTGGTTTGAGGCATTTGTTTCAATAAAATAAATTTTTACTCTAAGATTAAAGGTGGAATTGCGGTAAATCAGGAATAATAAATTCCTTAGAAAAACTCCAAAATAAATCGTTGGTACCTTAAACCTGTCCTGGAGATCGGCTATGACTCCAACTTACTTTTGTTAAAATACCAGAGTCTGAAAAAACACTCACTCAGATATCGATGGAAGAAGTTTCAGTTTTGATCAACTGCGAGAGCAAAATTCAAGTTGAGCTAAAAGGTTTTTGTTCAGTGTGATATTAACATTGTTTTAACTAATTTTGCACCTGATAGAGGGCTTTTGACCCCTTTTTAATTACATCACCTGGTGACAGTCAATTTTTCTGCGAAAATGCCAAAGGCGAAACTAAGTAAAAGAAACATCGCCACTTATTGTAGGTTATTGTAGGTAATCAAGTTAAATTGATATTTTCGAACGAAGGAAGAAAAGGAGCACATAGGTTATCGCAAACAATTTCAAACGATTCTAACTGAATTATGAATATTTTCTGATCATGAACATAGGTGTATCTTTTAGATCCATTCATTATCTTCAAGAAAAGTATATATAATGATAATTTAGTTAATCAGACCTAAGTGATATTGAAGGGGCAACGGACCAATCAACATACTTTTTCAAAAATGTTGACCTAAATTTCACCAAAAATGCAACCTTTTATTATATTGTTGAATGCATAATTAGAAAGTGCTTTGAGACATGTTCGATTTCGAGAAATAACATGGGGAACACTTATCTTAAAGCAATTAAGTTTTTCTTTCATGAACTATTTGATACATTAAAATAAAGAATAGTAATGCATTAAACATTGTAAAAAATGATTGCATTTTTGGTAAAAATGGGGTCAACATCTTTGAAAAAGTGTGTTGATGGGTTGATTGCTAGTTTAATATCTCCGAGTTTGTTTGACTTTAGTATTACTGTATACAATTTTCTTTGAGATAATGAATTGATCTAAAAGATAAACCTGTCTTCATTGTCAGTGTTCTTCATCACTAAATGTATATCGTCATTTTGTTGTACATATCGGAAATTATGGTTCATTATCTGTTTACAGAGGAAGGGATTATATCCTGCCCCGAAAGATGAAAGCAACATCCTTGGTTTAGAAGCTGCTGGGACTGTTGAGAAACTGGGCCCTGATGTCAAAACTTTGAATGTAGGGGACAGAGTCATGGCTTTACTACCAGGTACTTTCCTTCAATAGTACTTTGCTTTCCTTCAATAGTACTTTCCTTCAGAGTTTTCAATAGTTTTTTAAGAAATGTGCATATCAAAGGATTTAAGCCCAGGGCTCAAAATCAAACATGAATTTGAAATTTAAAAACATTTTAAATGAAATTTAATCAGGGATGTCTTGTATCAATACTTTGAATGAAAGCAATAGCCTATATTTAAAGGGCAAGGATACAAGACATGAATGCATTAAACTCTTTTCAGACATTGCAAATGATTTTTTATACACTATGTATCACTAATTTAAAGAATGGAATACAACCAGAAACATTTTTTGCAAGGGTTTTGCAAGGTTTGACATTTTGACTTGCATAAGCACCTTCCTTGCTACTCATTATCATTTATAGTTTTTCAGGCAGCTGCCTTTATGTAATTGATGAGGCTGACCAATTCAACCAGGCCCATAGCCAGGGGGGGTTCGGGGGTTCGGGGGGTTCGGGCGAACCATAATTTCTTTCAAAATCATGCAGCTTTTCACCATTCTGACCATTTTTTGTGTGATTTTGGCCATATATGTCAAAGTGAACCCCCCCCCTAGAATTTTTAGGAAAAGTGAACCCCCCCTTGGAAAATTCTGGCTATGGGCCTGTCCACTGAATTTAAAATTTGTACTCTGTTGTAAAACATAGAATTCATATTATTTGAAAAACTGTATTCTGACTGGCTGGGATTTGATATATCATTCCTAACAACAGTATTTGTGAATGCCAAATAAAAAGGTTTTAGAAATGGGCCATGGTGTTCAAGTAATGAATTATGTGTGAATGCCAATTAAAAAGTTTTTAAGAAACTTGGCCCTAGTGAGGGCTAGTGTACACGTTATGAACTATGTGTGAAATGCCAAATAAAAGGTTTTTAGGAAACTGGGCCCTGGTGTTCAAATAATGAACTCTATGCAAAGAATCTTGACTTATATTACTAACTTGATATTTTCTCTACAAGTTGGTTAATATTCTGGTAATATATGTACATTCAAGAAATTACTGAACATTTCATTTAATTTTGATTATACTTTAATATAGGTGGCGGTAATGCAGAATATGTTGCAGTTCGAGAGAATCATACAATTAAAGTGCCATCTTCGATGACATGGACCAAAGCAGGTGCTATCCCAGAAGTCTGGTTAACTGCTTATCAACTTTTGCATTTTGTGGGTAAGTTTTACAATCTCAGTGATCTCCCCATGTCACTTTTACCGCGCCCTCCCCCTCTCCCTACTTGAAACCAAAGGCCTCCAATTGGCACCCTGCACTCCAACTTCTGATTTGCAAAATGAGTGAAGTAAGCACCCGCCTGGAGCTATTGCAAGCGTAGCGAGTGCCGATTTTTTCAGACTCGAAAAATTGCACCCAGTTCAAAATTGTTTTTTGGGAGAACACTGAAGCTTGAAGCTTTTATTAAAAACAGACATATTTATTTCATTAATACATTAATGTTTAATTTATGTCCAAAACATATTACATGCATAAGGGCAACTGGTGATGATGTACCTTGAACATTTGAAAATGACATGCTTCCCTGTTGAAAGTTAGTTAGCCCTCCATCACAGTTTTTTTGAAATTAAGCAAAATTATACTTTTTGGCTCACACAGTGAGCCTATGGGATCGACCAGGCGTCCGTCCGTCCGTCCGTCCGTTGGTCTGTCCGTCAACATTGGCCGGACAAATTAAAACTGCTATTCGGATTGAGTCATATCCACATTCATTTTATGCATATCCATAATGCCTATTTGACCTATCATCGCCATTTCCCAAGTTTGCCCAGTTTTCGAGAAATTGTGGATTTTGACATCAAAAAGTCGAATTTTCTGTAAATACTAGACACTTTGTTGAAGTAGAACTTTCAAATAACTTTTAGTAGTTGCTGTATATGCAACTTATGTCCTCTGAAGATTTCAAAGCTCTTGGAATTACAGTTTTTGGTGTTTACTCTATAAAATTTGACAAAAAGTAGGACTTGAAAGTAGTGTTGTCGCGATGTGCCATAATCGTACATCGATGCATCGGCAATTTTCAGTAGTAAACATCGATGCACATCGCGATGTACATCGAGAAAAAGTTCGAGAAAAGTGCACTGAAATACTGAACGCTAATGCACTAAAATATCGAACAGAACAAATTAATAAGAGTACGCTGGTACATCCAGGAACATAGTAACGGTGAAATGAAAGTAAAGTAATTTTTTTAGATTAATGGTTCATTTCGACTAGCTAACAGTTTTAAAGCGAAAGAATATCAGAAAACATTTGAAAATGAAATAAGACATGAAAAAAGGTCAGCAATTTGCGTCAAAATAAGATAAGAAAGGGCGATTTTTAGCAAATTAAAATTTTTTGAAAACATCGATGTTTTGTTTCAGACATCGATGCATCGCCAGAACCAGCTTTGGCGATGTATATCGCGATGTATCGATTAATCACGACAACACTACTTGAAAGTCATTTTCAGGAAACTTTCTCATGTATAAAGTCAATGGCAGGTTTTGTGATTGACAAGTTTCTCAAAGTTTGCCTTATACTCGATCATTTCTTGCAATGAATTACATCACAACTAGATTTAAGCATTCTCTACATATTGCTCAATATATCTCAGCATCAAATTTTTACCGTTTTTGAGATATTTGATGTCAAAAAACAGTAAAAATAAGTTATTTTTCAACTTGCTTCAATTTGACCAAATTTTTTTTTGAAAATCATCTACAAGTTGCCAGGAGTTCAAATCTGACATTAGTTTTAGGATTTGACCTTTACTTGACCTTCAGTGACCTTCAAAAGGTCAAAAAAGTTGATTTTTCAAATTGATTTTTGGATGTAAATTTTGGTCAGCTTAATCACAAAATACCTTACTGAGCTCTGAATTAGTAAAATTTTCAAGGTCAAAGGTCATCAAACAAGGTCACAGAACTGTGCTATCTAAGTTTCTCAAAGTTCGAGACTACAAATCCAAATCAATATTTTTATTTGAAAGTCAGCTGATATATACATTCCTCTGAAGGTTCCAAACTGTGTGAGCACAGGACTGTGGGTCCTTCATCTCATTTTTATATTCATAACTGTTACTGTTTGACACAACCTTAAATTTATTGTTTATGACGTTTGGAAAACACTTCGTGTTTCTTCCTCAGAATTTTAACTTCTGGCGTTGGACCTGATCTTATCTTGTGACGTCAGAACGATCCTTATCACCATAGTGCTGAACTTTACATAAAATAGGGTACCAAACATGTGACAGTCCCTGTTCATACTATTACTGTTTTTTCTTATAAAAATTGATTCCTTAATCCATCTAATATCTCTATTGCTCTTATTGTCCAATGTTCTGACAGAACATTGCAAGTTTATCCAGTTATGGATAGGTTTATTTATCTATTTTGTTTTATTAAGTTTATCCAGTTATGAATATAAAAATTAATTACCAACCTAAAGAAACATGTTCAGAAATACTGTTCTCAGTTGAAAAAGAGATTGCAGCTATATTATGAAATTTCAAGATGAAAATAGAAGTCAAAAATTGGATGGACATTTTCGTTGTTGGAAAATATTGAGTTGTGTCTCTGGGAGCCAAACCTCATTTCCTTCTTGCAATGAGGAGAATTTTTACTGGTCCAAGTAGTGCTTGCAAAGGTTTACTGCAGAGAGATGCTGCATTATGATATGCGTTGATATCAAACTTTATGGGGAACAGAGGAAAATCAGGGAAAAATCCAAGAAACTGTAAAAGGTTTTTTTAATAGCTGAACCCCCTTGGCTATGAACCCGTCACAGGCCTTTCCCTTTCAATAGGTTCGTAATAAACCACCATCATTGTTGAAAGGAGATGTTTCGTGTTTCCCCAGTACATCCTTCCTTTAGCCGTGTTAAGATTACCATATGGGCAATTGTTTTGATTGTTGTACCACCAGCCACCTTCGTCTGCACATGAATTTTCTGTTCCATTTTCAAATGTCATAAATTTGGTGCCATTAATCTGTTGAGCAGTTCCAATATGCCATTCATCAAATAGGCCAGAACCATTGCCATTCAGTCGAAAATGGTCACCTTCGTTTCCTATTGAAAATTTATCAAAGATAGGATAAGACCATCCATTTTTCTTCAGGTAAAACTTGATCTTGTAGTCTCTACTGTTTGTCAAGGTATGAATGTTTTCATTGCCCATCCAGTAGTAAGATTTTTTATCTTTCCAGTAGTCATTTCCTGTTGGTGGATCACCTACAAATAAGTGTTTTCAATTTTTTTTATATAGTTTTCACACATTATCATGGACATCATTATATATAGAACATGTTCATCTCATGAAATATTAGTTAGGCCCATAACCAGGATTTTCCAGGGGGGTTCACTTTTGACAAAATTTTGCCCAAATTACTTGAAAAGTACTCAGAATGGTAAAAGACGGCATTATTTTGAAAGAATTTTTGGCCAGGGGGGTCGCTTGAACCCCCTGAACCCCCTGGTTACAGGCCTGTCACTTATGTTACTGTACCTGAACCTTCACATTCAAACAACGTAAAAATCGTATTTACTTATACTACACTGGCAGATCTGGGGGGAGGGCCCTCCCCCTTTGGTGGGCCCAGAAAAAAAAATTGGGCCAAAAAAATATTTTTGGGCCAAAAAGGCCTTGAGGCCCCATAAAGTAGGCCTTTTTGGTCATGACTGGACTTGTTTTTAATTTCAGGCCAAATTTTGAAGAAAATTGGCCTCCAGATTTCAAAATTTGGGCCCACCTTTTGGTTTTTAGGGGCCCGATTTTTGTCGCGCCAGCGCAAAGGTTTTTTCTCTGACCTAAGATTTGGGCCCGCCCCCTTATTGGTTCCCAGATCCGCCACTGTACAAGTGGTGACATATTTTTGAAATCTCCATTTTTATGGTGGCGGTCTGTGTCATCAATTTTATAAGTTGATGCATTATGGGTATTAGACCTCTTCTCAAAAAGGAGTTTACGATATGGTATTTGAATTTTGCCAAAAGAGGCAATACAACTCACTACTTCTAGGTTGTTTCTATCATGTTACATTTAGGTTCAAAATGATTACTGATTTGAAAATGTTTTGTTACTGTAGGTGGGATTTGCCCCTACATAGAGTTAGTGTTTTTCTGATCATTAGCCCAACGAGTTCATGAAAGGGATTCAGCGAAGCCCTCCATCTGTCTGTTAGTCCATCCATCAGTCGGTCCATCCATCCATCCAACCGAAAAATCTCCTATACTTTTTCAAGATGACCAGTGCTATGACAATGGCAAGAATTTTTCGCGAAAATGAAATGTTTTTCATTATAACCAAAGTAATGAGCATTTATTGTTTGTAAATTTGATAGGAAGGGAAAACTTAACCAACAAAACAAGGCAGATTTTACCTTTGAATCCTTTGCGATAGTCTGCCCATGTTGCTGTCTGAAACTTGAATTTGATTTGCTGACCACGAAACTGAATCACTGTGTATGCATATTCTGTTTTCAAGCACAGCACGGAAAATGGAGGTTTCTCTAGACTTGGTTGAATTTCATAATAACGGTTCCATACTGGGTGCGTTATGTCTGCGCAATCTCGTGGGAGCTGGATGGGCTTTTCAGTGTACAGTCTCCACTGGTCATCATGTACGATTTTGCCATCAGACATGTATTTAGGCTGTTGTGATAATAGTTGGCAAGTTGCGTTCTTAATGTTGAAATTCACGGCAACACAGTTTTCTTTTTCTTCCTTTTGACAAGTAGCCAAACATTGAACTGTAGCAATTTCCATATCGTAGGCAGCCATTGGCATAACAGACTCTTTGATAGTTCGAACTTGATAAATTGAGCCAAATTTGTGGTAGAACTTTGTGGAAATCCCATTTTTCTGAAATGTCCATCTTTCATGTTTATTAGACGCTGCATTAATACACATTGCACCAAAAAGTATGATGAACCAACTATTACTCAAACAAACGCTGAGGACATTCATATTTATTTTTTAGCAAAACTCAAATAATTCGTCTCCTCTGTACAATGGTACATGTACATCACCTGTTAGATTTTCTACTAAGTAATATAGTATTCTCTATTTTTTCAGGAGGATTGTTCTATTGTTGCTATGGTAACTATACTACAAGGCATATTTAATTAATGCATAAAATTTTCACATTTGTTCGAAATTCACAAATGAACGTTCTGGGAAATGATTTGATTGAAGGTATCACCATTCACAACAACAAAATTAATTTCATTTATAATCATGAATAATACCACTTTATACCAGTAATTATATTTTTTATACCAAACCTTATAGCATCAATTAATTGCTTTATAGCTATAAACGCTATAATGTCTATAAAACTGATATTAATTGCTGATATTCTATTCAGGGATGTAAATTATGATGCAAACATGACAGATCAAATTTATGAGATATAAAAATATCTGAAGTTAATATGGTGTGGATTATTGATTTAACAAATTGAGAGCTTAACTGGAATTCTGTATTTACTAATGGTAAAAGTAAAGGTGTCGAAATTGTAAGTCGTTGTTATAGCAACCAGTCTGCTGATTGGTACTTGTATTTACAATTCATAATATCATTTACTCCCCAATATTTGTTGATAAATTGTTTTGCATTTGCTTTATTGGTTTTACTTACTGGTATATTATTGTCATAATCTGAAAAATACTGGGATTGCCCCAAAGTGTTTGGATTAGCAGGTGTTCACATTTCAGTGTTTCTTCACATGTGAGCCAATGGGAGATAACAAATTGGACTAAAAAGTGTTCACATTGAGAGGTGTTCAGATGCAGAGGTTTACACATATATATACAGGGCTGTTCACATACATGTACGTAGGGCTATATTGATACATAAGGGTTATGTTCTGGGAGGTTTTGGATATGGGGTTTATCCAGAGGGAGATATGCATATCTACCTGAGGGACCGTAGGGACCGAAGGTAAATGTGCATATCTCACGAGGGATGAACCCAATATCCAAACCGACCGTACATAACTGCTTTATCCTATACCAAGTAGATTTTTCAGGTGCATATGGCCATTTCAATAGTACAAGGTGTAAAAACAATCAAATCATTCATATGCAAAGTCATTTTATTGCATTTCCACTACTTACCGGAAGCGGGAAGATATGCACCGAAGCGGGAAGATATGCACCGAAGCGGGAGATATGGAGGTTCTGAATATGGAAACCTCAAAATCAGGATACGGGATATATCTTACCAACTTATCTCCCTAAAACTCTACTTGGCATAAGATAAATATATTTATTAATGTATTTATACCATACTTGGATGTGTTTCAGGTACATAAAACAGGTTTGTAAAAAGGTATATATTCATCAGCGGGTAGATATAGTTTTACGTCCCAGCTGGAGTGGGAAGATATATTTGCCTGCTACGTCATAATCGCAGTTCATATATTGGTTCATTTTTCTGATGGTCACATAATTACTTTAAATTGTGATATGTTTCATGGTATAAAGAAGGGAAGGAGCATCCTGTTAATAAACAAAGATTCAAGAAAATAAATGTGGATGAATATCTGAAAGAACAGGAAAAGGCCAAGACCAAGAAAACAAAACTGGACATGAATATTCTAAATGAATTCCTACGCTTGGGAACTTTTCTGAACTTGGGCCAATTTCGGCAATTGAACAATGTGAATGGAATGAAACAGATCATCCTATAGTCCGTTCAGGATATTAGGATTATCCCTTGGCCAATATAATGTATCTACCCTCATGAACTGCGGCCCTCGGCAGATATATTATATTAGCCTCGGGATAATCCCACTATCCTGAGCCTCCTATAGGGTAATCTCTTCATCAATACAGGGCTCTTTACATACAGGGCTGTTTATATACAGAGGGCTATATTAATACATGTACTTATTAATACAGGGCTGTATATACACTTGTCTGTGCATTCCTTTAGTTTTGATATTGGCGAGCCTGAAATTCATTCTAATCTCCACTCAGAGACAAGAATGACATATGACAAATCATGATTGATGTTAGTAGCTGATTGAGTATGAGCAAGGGCATTCAATAGATGGCAGTGCTGCATTGTTATTTTTTTAAAATGAAAGCGAAAAGCCCTGCCTTAAGTCTTCAATATCTCCCCCACCGATTATCAATTTCTCTGTGTAAAAAGCTGGGGTGTCCCCAGGATTTTTTCAAGGGGCGAGAAAAAACATAAAACTGTCTCTGTCATAGCTTGTACTTAAAGCCTAGCTTGTCAACTTCCTTTGTAAGGGCACATAGTTCATCTTTCCTCTTAGTCTCCTTGTGAGTATGACAAACAAAATATTGGAGATTGGCTCAAAAAACCTCCAGCCCCTGTGGACGCCCTATGAAAAGGTATGATTGTTGATTTTTATTTAAACAATTTCATCCCTGGCTGTGTCCTTTTGGACATTAGTAGCCAAATTTTTACATAGTATCAATAGGCAAATTAAGCATTTTTAACTTCACATGTATGACATTCCAGAAATGTTCGCTCCTATCGGTCTCTGATGGCCATCTCCAGATATTTACAGCTAAGCTGTAACAAGGAAAAGTTAGTTTTGAGGGGGTAATTGTTGATGGATCACGTATATACAAATGCTTGATGCGAAACTAAAAGCAGGGTCATTTCTAATAGCATAGGCAATTGTTACAGTTGAGTTATAGGTTGTCTTGGTGTACTCTTCTTCTTGATCTGGAATTAAGAATAATTTTGTAAAACAAAACCATAAAAATAAACCATTTGAATAAAGTATCAATTGTAAAATATTGTAAGGAAGAATACTTGATGATCAAGATTAGATTTTAGATGAGCATCTATAGTTTTGGCCCTTAATAGTTCCAATTCATTCTTGTGGATGATATTGCTTCTCAAGTTCTACATGTTTGATTTGGTTGTTCAAAAAATTCCTATGAAATATCTGTTTATAATATCAGATACACTTAACATTTACCTGATTGGGTTATCCGTTTTAGTGTTTAAACTTTTAAATGCATTTAAGATTTATACTTACGGCTTCTCTATTTTTTACTCCATCAATTGCTTCAGATATGGTCTTCAGTTCATGCTCATCATCGTTCTTAGGTTTGTCTTGTTTGTTTTCATTTGGTTCATCCTCATCAGCTGTATCATTAGCATTATCATTTTCAGCATCATCAGGTATTGTCTTCCTTTCTTGCTTTATGTTCCCTTTGTCCTGCTTGCTCTCATCATGTTTATTTTCATCATCTACAAATGCGGCATTATCTTTTGCAGCATTTTTCAATCTTTTTGATTGATTTTCTTGCTCCATATCAACAGTAAAGATGTTCTTTCGTTCAACGATTTCTTTCTTCATTGATGCTGCAGTGAGCTCCAAGGACCTGTTGTTTTTAACAGTTATTTTTTTATTGCTCGGTTGAGGCATTGGTGTTTTATTGACTGATATTTCACTTAAACTGCTTTGACTATCTCCCATGTGACCATGTGGATTCCCAGCTGGCTGTTGACTTTCGCTGTCTGGTGAACTTGAAGTAAAACTTTTATTTGGTCTTAGACATGCACAAAGGCATGGGAACCTCTTTCTGAGCTCTAGTTTAAAGCGTGGATGCGACAATGTGTATACAAGTGGGTTATAGCATGCGGATGCCTTCGCAAACATGACAGGTAGCATCGCAGAGAATGGGGTTACGGCTCCTCGGTAATTGCACAAAGCTAGTATGGCTATCGTTGCATATGGGACCCAAGACAGAAGAAAGAGTATGCAAAAGACGCAACAAGTTTTAGCCAGGCTTACTTCTGTCTTGAATCTCTTTTCTTTCGAGGATACCATCGCTCCCATTTTTCCTGCTTGTTTTTCCATGATGTTGTTCTGTTTGATGACTGCCTGGATGATTCTGATATAATTGACGACCATTACCATGACAGGGAAAGTGAAGTGAATAACGTATATCGTCAAATTAAATGTGATGTTGTTCAGTGAACGTGTCAAATAATCAAACGTACATGTCGTTTGAAATCCTTCAGGGATATAATCACCCCATCCGTAAAATGGCGGGATTGCCCATATCAAGTCCCAAATCCAGATAAGTATGATCCAAATGGCTACTTTCGTTTTTGTCATGTTCATTGAGGACTTCATTGGTTTACTTATGATGGTGTATCGTTGGTAGGATATAACGGCAAGCGTATCGATGGACATGAAGCCAAACATCGCACCAAAGAAACCATACACTTTGCAAGCTGAAATAGGATGTTTTGAACATTTTTTATAAAGAAATTTTCTCATTTCAAGTATTGCCATATATTCATAGTCAGAATAGAATTAGAGTAAGAATAATATTGCTATATTTCAAAGTCAGAATAAGTATATCATATTTTGTATTTGACTATTATGTTGTGGTCGGAATACAGGTATTGGTTGATAAACCTTGTGGTTGGTGCACAGTGTTATAGTTGCCAACTTTTTTGTGGCCAGTGTTTGGCAGTTGGTGTTAAGTGTTTGGTGTCTGTAACAGCATTTGGTGGTGGGTGTTTAACAAATAGCAGGTGGTGACATTTTGCTTGTTAATGCGCGTTGCGTTATAGTCTTATTAAGCCCTATGTTTAGTCCCCTTATTGTTCTCTTTTGTAGTTGGGGACTTCCCTCCCAAATTCATCAAAATATCCCTATTTTCGTGATTTTTAATATTCCTGGAACAAGTGGAATCACAACTCGGTCATGTTTATTTTCAAATGTTCAACCTAACTACAGGTACCTCAATGCTTTGCAGATCACTACATCCATGTACTAATTTGTTAAGGGCCTCATAAAGATGTGTAGAATTTGAAATGTTGAGCTTGAAATAGGTCTCTTGTTTGTTTGTTTGTTTATTTGTTTGTTTGTTTATTTGTTTGTTTGTTTGTTTGTTTGCTTGTTTGTACAACTGGAGGGATGAATATATGCCTAGGTGACAACCAAGATATTGACCTCATAATGCCATATTTGGCAGACAAAGGATTGCACTGGAAAGTTTTGAGTATTGGTTAGGTGACAACCAAAACATGGACCTCATTATACAAAGGATTGAACAAGAAAGAATTGGTGCCCCCCATAAACGTTTGAGAATTCTCTTAATATTGAATCTTATATGGGCCATTTTTTCCTGATATTGAAGGCAATGGATTTGATAAAAAAAGTTGGAGCCCCTGAATAATTTGTAGAGCTTTAATATTTTAAGCGCTAGAATTTTAAAAACGTTTTTTTTAAAGATTGCCTGTCCCTTCAATCAACTTTCGACTTTTTAGTTTTTTTTCTTTTTTACATCTTATAGATTAGATGTGAGATTACTGCAGGTTTATGTACTTACTGTAGCCGTACAGGGCTCTCACCAGGAAATATTTAGGGTGTGGTGCTTAACATCTTCATAATAACCGTTCAATTGTGATAAATCATAATTATGTTATGTTTTATCCTTTTTACATGCTATTATTGTATATTCAGTCAAGTTTAGACTGTGGAAACAGTCATGATTTGCCAATAGGGTGTGGAGGGAGCTAAATAGAGTGTGGTGCTGCGCCACAGTCTAAAAGCCTGGCTAGAGCCCTGCCGTATATTTTATATTATCACACCATACTTAACTTTTGTATTCTTGATTAAATGTATATGGAAATATGTTATGATTTTGAAAATAATACTAAAAAAAAAAAAAAAAAATTCCGACTTCATTCCTTCATGTACCTACTTTTGTTTCCCCAGATCCAGCGCTGGTTGAAGCTGGAGATGGTCAATAAGGGGAACCCGTTGATTGCAGAATAGATGAAATCACTGATAGCCAGGTTGATCAACAGCATATTCTGGGGAGTCCGCAAATCTTTTGCCCTAGGAGAAAGTATTTCAATATTACTTTAGTTTATCATTATTACAATTATTTGGCATGCAAAACTACCCCAAAACAATGTGTAAATATTTGGTTCACACAGTGAGCCTATGGTATCAACCAGGCGTCCGTCCGTCTGTTGGTCCGTCCGTGCGTCCATCCGTCAACAGTGGCCGCACAAATTAAAACTTATAAATGTTGAGAATAAAATAGGTCCTAAAATACCTTAATTGGCAGGCAAGATCAGCTCAGATTACAAAAACTTAGCTGAACATGAGGGAGAAAAACCACATTATAAATAACTCTGACAGAGTTAATAAGTGGAACAAATGCTTTTAATAATAATATCGTTAAACGAAGTGAAATTGGAGACAAACTTCTCATTTGCAAGGATTTCATTTGAATTTCAGAAAGGATTTTGGTCAAGACAACTTGAGAAAATTGCCCATATAATCTGTTGCTTTTAAGCCCTTGATTGCTTTAGCAATATTCATATAGACAGTTTTTTATCTGAATTAAGCGGGAGTTAGCTGATAAAAATTATAGAGCTATTGCTATCTGTGTCTGTGAAATCATCATCGATCCATGGCCATGGTTCTTATATTGAAGGATTTAAACATAGGACTTAATGAACTGTAGATGTATATCTTGTATCAAGACTTGGAATGAGGCAGACAGCCTGAATTACAAAACATGAGTGCATTAAATTATATACAACGAACTCATTGAGTCATATGCTCACTATAAATTATTTTCACCAGTTGCAAAAGAGTTTGTGCAGCATCACTCAAAAGAATGAATTTTTGCAAGGAAACCTTTTTGCAAGGGTTTTGCAACATTGGAACTTTTGACACTTTGACCTGCATAAGCGCATGCATTGTTATTCCTTATTATACTGTTAATAGGTTGTCACTCATCTACAAAATTGAAATTATTAAATTGATGAGGATGATCAATTGTACTGAATTCTGTTGTACTGAATTCTATTGTACTGAATTCAATTGTACTGAATTCTAAATATAGCCAGGCACTATGTTATAAAATTAAGAATGCATATTGTTTTAAATACAGTAAAACTTGTGTATATTGAACATTTTTTTCGAGAAAAAACATTCAGTGTTAGGAGTTCACTACAGAGAGGGTAATTATTAATACAAAGGTCAGAAGAGAATGTGCAAAGGAAGGACTGGAAGGTTGTCTACTAGAGACAGGTGTTCATTAGAGAGAGGTGTTCACTAAGGCAGGTCTTACTGTACTATGTTCTGATTAACTGGAATTTGATATATCATGTCTCAATATGATATTCGACATATTTGACAGGTTATTCACCTTAATGAACATTTGTAGACATTTAGCGTCTTGAATCCCAGCTGTTCTAAAATCAGTTGAAATCTTATTTTAGTAAAACCATAGATGGAGGAGATCATTTTCTAGACATCTTAAAACAATTTTTGTAAATTGGGTGAAAATTGTTCAAATAATAGCAAAAGTGAAACATTTTGTGACGGATTATTTCGTCACTCTTGTTTCAAAGTCATTTCTGAGGCGACGAGTAATCTCGTCACTCTGGGTAATCAAGAGGTTAAATTATGAAAAACAATTTCCTTTCAACATCAGTTCCGATCACCTAAACCAGCTGAATGTGAGGGAGAAAAACAAGAAAATAAATAATTCTGACAAAATTAATAAGATGAGCCCATGTAATCAAATGGGGACTCTTAATGATATCGCTAAAGTATACAACTGAGAAAATTACACGTTGTCATTTGTATATTTAAAACCCCGATTGCATGGCTCCGCAATATCAATGACTGATTCTAATCAGAAAAAAGAGCTGAGTTACCATATAAATTAGAAGAGCCATGAGTATATATATCGCAATCTGTGTCAATGAAAGCATCAATATATGAATCTATGGCTCTTATTTTTACATTCACGGCCTTTAGTTATTCTAATCATTGGAAGATTGAAAAATAATTGAAGGAGAAAGGAAGTGGCAGATTTTTTCCACAGGATAATGACAAATCATAGCATGGTACTGATAGGATGTTTTGATTATATCATAGCCGTAGGCAGCGGGGGTTCGGTGGGTTCGAACGAACCCCCGGTCAGGATTTCCCAAAATATCATGTTGCGGAAAAATGCATATAACCAGAAATATTAAATTACTGTGCTATTTGAAAACTACATATATGAGCAGTAAATGATTTATGGATCACACGAGAGCCTTATTTTGTTTAAAACATGTCATAGTGAAGTTACACTTGCCTCAAAACGTTTGGCAACCTTAGGCACTGGGTGAGATTTAAGGGAAGATCCCAGACCAGAGCATGAGATTTACATTTAGAAATATTAATAATTTCGCACAATTAACTGAAATGCTGCTTCTTTTCGGACAAAATAACCCATCTTTGGCAATGGCTAAATCAGTCCTTTGTAGGAATTTTGTTTTAAGCCAGTTCTGGTCCAATACGAAGTTATTGAAAACAATGCAGACGTCCCATACTCCGGATGATTTTTACAACATCGACGAATAAATATCTGGAATAGTTGTAATATTAATGAAACACATGTTCTTTCAAATGTGTACATCTCTGTTTTGTTTTATTTCAATTAAAATTTAAAACATTTCTTTGGACGTCTTGGGACGTCAATTGTGTTAAGTTATTAAAAAAGTTGTGAAATGAATTATTTAAAAGCGTATATCATTTATAAACACAAGCATTTGTTCAAATTTATTCATTCTTTCATTTGTTCTGTATTTATTTACCCATCACTTTTCAAAAGAAAATCAATCATTGCAAAAAAATGATTTTGTTTTTTCAGATACACTTCACTCATCTAAGAGATTGTATAGAATTCAAATTGTTATCGTTCCAGTTTACTTGCTCTCCATTTTCATGTTAATGTCATGATATGTTTAGCAAATAAATTATATAATAAAAAAAACATTTAAAAATCATATGGTATTAATCTTCAAATAATGAAGGCCTAATTTGTTATCAAGTCGTCTGAACTTAACAAAATAACAGTCGCTTGTATTTATATATGAATTATATCCACTAAAACGTTTTTATTATCAATTGCGGTTGATCTGCTCCGGGGGACTTACCACTGAGCTCCGGGGACGTCCAAA